ATCCATCCGTCAACTGGTTGCTTTATTGAGGCCAAATACAGCATCACATAGAGACTGACAGGCAGTGTCCCATATTTTTATCAGTATCGGTCCAGATATAAAGAAAAAAAACTAGATCTGTATCGGCGACAATTGACTCAATATAGGGGCCGATCTAATCATTCTAACTCTATGCTATGCCGTCATGCGGCAACAACACAACACGATGGAGCAAGCGAAAGGATCTGCGGTGTGGTTTTTCCCGCTCTCTTAGCCTACAAGCCCAATGGCGTGCAACATTTGTGGGAGAAATGTTCTGAGGGGGCGGTGTTAAATCTTCAAACTATAACACCACCAACTTATTGAAACACCTTCAGAAGTTTCATAACAAGAAAAATGCTGAGATTATCGGACTCAGCAAACAAAAAGGATGCAGCAGGAAGCAGCTAACTTTGATGGAAGCAAAGGAAAGAAGTAAAATATTTCCATGTAACAGTATATAGGCCAAAAAATCACAGAGATTATACTTGATAATGAATAATGACACTTTTTTTACATGTTGACCAAGAAAGAGAAGTTTTGGTTTAAGATTTTGTGCACAGCTGTTAAATAAATGAGTCATAACATTTGTATTTGGGTTGTTTCCTTTTTTTTAAGAAAAGGGAAATCAAATCATATGCACAGAAGAATGATCCCAGTTTTTTTTTTTTTTTTTTTGCACAATAAAACCATTTTTTTAGGTAATAATTCAGTGCTGTTTTTGGTATCGGATCGTATCGGCCGACATTAAACTTTAAATATCGGTATCGTATCGGAAGTGAAAAAGTGGATCAGTGCATCCCTAGTTATCAGTTCTGAATAATCTTCTTAACTCCTTTTAAAGCCAAGTGTATAATATTCGATACATGAGTTTTTGAGACCACTCAACATCAGTGCGGTATTTTTGTTCTTGAAACCCTGAACTACACAATCAGACACATGCAATGAACAGAAAGCATATTAAATATTATAGAGAAATGCCTGTATCAAAATTGAATGATCTCATTAACCTTGTATGTAAAATGTATGGTTTTTTTTTGTTTGTTTTTTATTTTGAAAAATTTGAAATTCCTATCAATTATTTAATATTTCAGGCTTTAAAATGATAAAACAAATGTCAATGATAGTCACTGAAAAGAGAGAAGGGATTTGGAGACCATTGCTGCTCAAACTTAAACAGGTTATAGAGACTAATGTTTAACACTGCTATGTAAATGGCATAAATAATACTTGGATAAATGCATTTCATTTTCAGCTAATGTTAAAGAAATTAAGAAGCGTTTTTTCTGCAGCACTGGGGTCACAAGGATTAAAAGAATTAGGAGGAAATCCTTTTTATATGAAATGAACTTGTTAAAGGGTAAAATCAGAAGATGTTTCAACAAGGAGGAAAAAAATAGCCGCTTTTTCTGTCAGACAGCTGAATTCATTAAAAAAAAGGTTTTCCTCTTTCCAATCATAATGCATCTCTAACAGCAGCTTCTTCAAAATCTAAATATCAACCCCTTAAGTTCAACATTTCCTTTAACTTTGATCGAATTTCAGAATAAATGTCCGTACCGTAAACATCTAGAGCTCTGTCCTCCATGGTCCTAGAGCTCCTGCCCGGAGAGGAGAAACCCAGAAGGGTCGATTATAAAAGGCAAAAACTATTTAGGCGCTTAAAAACCCCCATGATGCAGATAAAAAAGTCTGAGAGGATAACTATTTTGGACAGGAAGTCACGTAGCTTCCTGGTCCTCTTCAGTTGAGCAAAGAGGTGCATTAGCGCCCCCACCTGGTGTGGAGGGCGGCACACCGGGCTTTACTGATCATGTCTAATTAACAATGTACAGTTCTTCTTCTACGTCTTTTATCAAGCTCCTAATTTTTAGCTGACACTTGTTTTAATATTAATAGTGTTTTTAACTAACACTTGTTTTACGTAAATTGTTTGTATGCTTGAATTGTGTAAATAAAGTGCTGTTAAAGTCAAAAGTTTTCTTCTTCTTCCTCTTCTTGCACCATTTCTGATGAGGGAGAGCTAAAATATAACAAGCTGCTAATGTAATAATGTATTGTTAACCTGAGTTTTTTTTGTTAAATTATTGTTTAATAATTTTTTTATTTATTGAAGAATCAAAGTATTATAAGACATATCAAAACAATTATACAAAGTTGGAAATTGAATATCTTAGGAAGCTGAACAAAGTATGTATAATATAGCAAATAGAATCATACAGAGAACCTATACAATTAGAAAACAAAAATAGTAATTAAATAAAAAAACCAAAGGACTCTTGAATTTTAAGTAAATTCTCAATGCTGTATATTGCATCATTGATTGGGCTTTAGGGTTTTTACAATGGGTTAGTACTTCTTTTAATAAAAGTATCTCACTTATAGAAATATTGAGAGATGGTGTAATTTTTTTTAAATCAACACTAATGTATGAAAAATTTGGCCAAAAGAATTAAATTGTTATTACCGTAGTTTGATTCTCTATATGCCGTTAAAAAAACAAATCTTATTATATCAAAATTCAAAAGTGGTAAAGAAGTCTTTTGTAAGATCCAATTTTGAAATTCTGTTAAAAACCAGAAAATCTTCTTCTTTTCTATTATGCCGGATCGTAAGCAACTTTAAGGTGTATACCGCCACCTACTGCACATGAGTGTGTAGCAAGATTACTTTACACTAAACGCTATTTTTCTTTATTTTGCATTCTGTAGGTCCAATGTACACTTCCGCTCAAAACATTTACAAATAGAAAAACACATTGAATCCTAATCTGTAAAAAAGGTTTAAAAGAGGATATATGTCAGATTTACCTTCAACCTTTATTACGTTCAATCGGTTGAGGGCCTCAGTAGGTCTAAAGTAGGTTTTCTGACCCTTGAATTAAAATATATTGGATTCTGTATTGGACCACTCACTTAATAAACATAAAAAATGTAACATTTAAAAAACAAAGGAGACTTTTTTTTCTAATGCTAAAGAAGATTATGTACTTACACTTAATTTGAAAGCAGCAGTATGAAATACAAGTTTAATTTAAGCCCAGAACCATTTAATATAAACAGAGTTGACGGGAAATGGTTTTAGAAGGGTTACACAATTCATTCAAGACATTTCCATATGGATTAATAAACTGACTAGTTGAATATAACCAGTCACTATGACTGTTGCAGGAGAATGAATTATATCAGTGGTTTGCATCAAACTAATCACTAACAAAATTCAGTTTTAATTAAATTTAAAGCTTTATCTGAATACAAACCTACGATGGAATGGCGACCTGTCCAGGGTGTACCCCTCCTCTCGCTCATTGACTGCTGGAGGTAGGCACCAGCACCCCTCGCAACCTCACTCGGGATAAGTGTGCTAGAAAATGGATGGATGGATGGATGGATGGATGGATGGATGGATGGATGGATGGATGGATGGATGGATGGATAAATAAAAAAAGTTTAGTAGCAACGGTTTCAGCAACATCTGTAAAATTGGCTGGGAAGAGAGTTTTAGAAAAACTGTAATTTAAACTTTCCCATCCAATGTAGAAAGGATTTACTGGAAACACTGAATAATGATCACAACTATGGACAACTAGTTTATTTTCTGATAAGAATATAACTATTAACCACACAAAACTTTGCAATGGTAAAAAAAAACATTATTCTAACATTTCTATATTCACATGGGCATAAAAGGGGTCACCATCTTGGTGCCTGCAGGTGCCAAGGGGCCCTCAGGGGCCTCACGGGGTGCCCACAACATCTTCTGAAATCAGCACAATTCACAGATTGAAATTTTTATTTTATTCTGTTGCCCTACTTTTTTAATAATTTATGGAGCATTTCTTCATTTTAATCATACAGAGTATTTAAGCATTTGCAGAGATTTCGAAATGACAATATCACAAAGAAAAGAAGCTAAAAGAAAGAATAAAAATATGTTTAGTTTGTATGAAGTTAAGGTGAACGCTGATCCTTCCTTCCTTCCTCCCTCCATTCCTTCAAATCCTCCCTCCATCCTATCCCCCCTCCCTCATTCCCTCCTTTCCTTCCTTCCTTTTATCCTTCTATCATTCCTTGCTTCCTCCATTTCTTCAAATCCTCCCTTCATCCTATCTCTCCTTCATCCTTACTCATTCCCTCCAGTTCTTATTTCCTTCCCTCCTTCCGTGTATCTTTCCTTCCTTCCATCATTTCTTCAAATACTCCCTCCACCATTTCCCTCCTTCTATCCTTCCTCGTTGCCTCCATCCCTTCCTTCTTCCATTCCTTCAAAATCCTCTCACCCTCCATTCTCCCTCCTCCTACCCTTCCTCATTTCCTCACTTCTTTCAAATCCTTCCTTCCTTTTAGTTTTCTCTCCTTCCTTCCTTCCTTTCTTTCTTTTCGTTCACTCTCTCCTTCCTTCCTTTCTTCCTTCCGTTTCGTTCTCTCTCTCCTTCCTTCCTTCCTTCCTTCCTTCCTTCCTTCCTTCCTTCCTTCCTTCCTTCCTTCCTTCCTTCCTTCCTTCCTTCCTTCCTTCCTTCCTTCCTTTCTTTCTCTTCATTCTCTCCCTCCTTCCATCCTTCCCTCCTTCCTCCCCCTCTCCTAATGAAAATATTTATTAGTACGGAGTTAAGGTGAACGCTGATCCCTTCAGTTCATAGGTAACTATTGGTAGCCATTCATATGAGCCATCAAGTAGCCCTGATGACCACTGTTGCCCTTGTGACCTCTGTTTTAAAAGAACAACTGAGATTCTTTCAACAACCGGAAAACGTTGCTTTTACTTTGAAAGAGCCACGGCCGCGTTACTTCCGTAATTGGTAGGGTCCTGCTCATAGATATCCATAATAAATACCTTTATTATGGATATCTATGGTCCTGCTAAGCGGTCTGACCCACAGATATCTATGGTCTGACCGCCCTCCTACCGCCTCCTATTGACTGAAGACTGCAGCTGCTGGTAGCTCAGCGTGGGTCCGTTTAGAGCTTCCTGATTGGTCGGGATCGATCAGCTGACTGTTGTGTCACGTGACTGAAAGGAAAAGGAAGCTTATCGGCTGTGAAGCTGATGTTTAGATGTTGTGAAGGTTCGGGTTCAGACTCCGTCCTCAAGCTGCGAGGAGATGTTTGACAGCAGGAGCCCCTTGGAGGTCCTGCTGGTTCCTGAGGACCAGGCAGGTGATCAGCTGGCAGACCTCAGGAAGGCCCAGATGTGTCCCGCAGGTTCCCGGCTCTGCTGCCTGGGGGGCTCCGGCCAATTGATGCTGTGGGCCCCTGGGGACAGGAGGGCCCCCCGGTGCTCAGCGGACGGCCACTTCTCAGAGTGAGTTCAGACACCTCCACTTCCGGTTACCCCGTCACGTGCTCCCTGCTTGTTATGAGATTAACCAAAACAATGAAGAGAAGTCAGTCAGCAGGGAGTCTGAGGGTTTAACCAAAACAGTGCTGAATGAATGTAACATTTGCTCCTGTTTTTCTGCTTTGATTGATCATAAAGTGGTTTACCAGCATTGATTAAAGTGATGACTGAGCAGTTTGAAGTTTTACTTTTCTGTTAAACTTCCTCCTTTCTGTTTTATTCTTTTTAGTTCCTGTAATTTGTGATGGATTTATTTAACCATCTCGTCGATTCGAAGAGAGAAAGCATCTTTAATGTTGGGGACCTAAACAGTCCTCTGCTGCTGATTAATACAAACAACACCCAGATGGTTTCTGTTCTTTTAAAAAGCGCTGACACTTTACATAAATCCACATAAAACATTATTAATAACTGAACCTTGTAATCATAAGTTTAAGACAACAAGAAAAAACGCCAAACAAGGCAGCAGAAATCTTGGTGATGTCAGAATATTCAGGTCTAAATCAGACTTTGCAGCATTTCTTTTTCAGGGCCGCTCTTAATTTCAGCGTGCGAGGGCCACGGCCCCAACACTTACTCTCCGGCCGAAGCACTTACATATGACAGTAAAGAATTCAAGGAGCTCAAGAAGTAATACGATGTTAACTACCTAAATGATGCATGTCGTATATATAGGCCTTCCTTGTCATGCATATCCTTGTGGCGGTTGGCATATGGTGTCATTTTCTATTTCTTCAAACTGTAAAATCCTTTCAACAAACTAAATTATACTAAAACTAAAATGCTTTCTTTAAACCTCTTATATTTGGCGAATTTATGTTAGAATATTTTGCAAAAATAGGTTGCGGTGCACGATGGGGTTTTGCATCTAAAGGCCCTTGACCTTATGCTTTACTCATTTGTTTTTTACCTAAGACCATAACACCCCCCCCCCCCCCCTTTTTTTTTTGTCTCTGTTCCCCCTCCCCCATTTTTTCTGTCTCTGTTTTGTTTTGGTTTATTAGTTCATTAACATTAGCACAGCCTAAGCTCAGGGTGGAGGGGAGGCTGCTGCTGTTTGTTCATGTTTATTGATTATTTTGTTATTTTTATACTTTTTTAATATAATCTATCACTGCATGCTTCTGATTTATACTTTATGATATTGCATGGTCTTTGTAAGGGCAGAAACTAAAATAAAGCCTGGGTGGAAAAAAAAAAGAAATCTCTGTGAGGATCATGTTCACCCTTGGGCCTTAGAAGTTCAGGGTCAGCCAGGTTCTACGCTGCACTAAGAAATGCCCCAGATTCTTACTCGTACCTCGGGTCCTGAAAAATATTACTGAAGAGAACAGAACCAGAAGATCGGATCAGTTACATTCAGAACGCTGGAGACTGGAGATGCACCGATCCAAGTTTTCTGAACCGATCCCATACTGATATCTGGGCTGAGCGCCCGGATCCGATTCATCCGATAAATGGATAAGCCATATATCTTGCCATGAATGCTTTAGCCTTAACATAAACATTGTTGAAAAGAGGTAACAAATGGATAAATTGACTTTATATTATTTATTGACTATGTAAAGATGCACCTGATTGGATCTCCGATAGGAAATCACAGCAATCCGATCCGGCTAATATCTGAGCAGATATCCAATCCAGGTGTCAGAATGATGCGTCTCCAGTTTAGAGGCGTTGTAAGAAATCGTCTCCAGATGAATTTGTTCTTATATGGTGAACCTGAAACTGATCCTTTGTCGGCAGCTTCAGCTGGGAGGAGGTGACGGCCAGCAGTCGGAGCGTCAGCAGTTTCCACCTGCTGGCTGTTGGATCTCAAGGTGACCTGAAGCTGCTGCAGGCTGAAGCTGAACCCTCCGTCCCCGTTTCTTTGCTGAGCGTGCAGAAATGTTCTGCAGACCGTCTGCTGGAGGCGATCGGAGAGAAGAACCACAGTGAGTCCTCTACTGCACGTTGTCTCCTGATCATTTGGTCTCAGACTGAGCGGCTGGGCTTTTGTCTCCAGGTGTGTGTGAGCTGGACTCTGTGCAGGTCCTGTGCTTTGTGGACGGCCGCAGTCGTCTGCTGGTGAACTGGAGCTGGTTGCTGCAGCTGCAGTGGGAACGAGAATCAGGAGAAGCGAAGATGATGTCCTGCCATCACTTGCAGCCAATCAGCAGGACCCAGCATGCAGCTGTTCAGCTCTGTGGAGAAACCCTGTTCACCCTCAGCTCAGATGGACTCATACGTATCCTGCAAAAACATTCTCACACTGAATGCTAATTAAGCTGCTTTAAGCTTTAACTGAAGCAGCAGAGCCAAGGTGTCATCATCATCATCACCAAGCCTGTTTGTTAGCATATGTTGTATTTCTGGCATTTTCCTGATCTTTCCTCCCCACCAGATGTGTTTGCTGTAACCGATGGCACCCTGCTGGCCAGCATCAACCTCCCCGCCTACCTGGAGGATGACCTCAGCTCTTCATCTCCCTCCTCCTCTTTCTGCCTGGTTCAGGTGTCAGCAGATCTCAGCACAGCTGTAGCTGTAACCCAGTCTCATGCAGCTGTAGCCGTTGACCTTAACTACTATTTCAGGTACAGGAGTCAGTTTTTTTTTTGTTTAAGGTTTATCTTTGTGTTTAAGGAATCCTAATCTCTGAAACTCACATGATTTGACACAATAGAAATCGATCTGATTCAAATGAAATGATCTGGAAATAAAATCCGCTTTCTCGTCTGATCAATAAGCTCATAATTGCTGCGTTCACCCAGCATGACCCAAATCAGATCAGTTTGCTCATGTTCTGCTTCTATCTGACTTTTTCAAGGTCCAGTTCTGATTTCTGACCTTAAAGAGAAATCAGATCTGAGCCACTCCCATCAGAGGATCGTTTCCCAGGCTCTTTGTAGATCTGTTTGTGTAGATCTATTTTAGTAAATCTGATTTAGTAAATCTGTTATTGTAGATCTGATTAAGTAGGTCTGTTTTCGAGTTAGACTTAGACTCAACTTTATTAATCCCTTGGGATTACTCCTTCAGGGAAATTATGTTTCCATTAGCTTGTATAGAGTACAAAGAGTTAAAGCAAGATGCCATTAAAAATAACGATTGCAATAGACAATATAAAAAGAATTTATATAGTAACAAAAAAGTATATTAAACAAAAGTTGTAATGTCCTGGAATATGTTTCCCTTAGATATAAAAACATCTGCACAGTAGAGAGCCAAGGGAAGACATCATAGTAGTTGATGGATTATTGCACTTGTACTGCAGAGATGTACTGACCTCATAAAACAACAAAAAACTTAAACAGGCTAAACAGTAGTTGGCATGTGTTATTGCACAGGGAGAGAGAAGAATATTGCACGAGTGAAAATAGGTAATGTTTTGCATAAGATGTCCAAGGAGGGGGGGTGCTGACCATTGTCCCTCTTCCTATCACCTCCTCCTTCCTCCAAGTGAGGAGTTGTACAGCTTGATGGCTCGGGCGCAAAGGAGTTCAGCAGTCTGTTGGTCCTGCATTTGGGGATATTTGTAGATTTGATTCAGCAGATCTGTTTTTGTACATCTTGTTTTAGTAGATCTGTTTTGTTCTGTTTTAGTAGATTCTATTTAGTAGCTATTCATTATTTAGTATCTATTTTTGTTGATCTGTTTTCGGTAGGTCTGTTTTTGTAGATTTAATGTAGTAGATTTGTTCCAGTAGATCTGTTTTGTTCTGTTTTAGTATATTTGATTTACTAGATTATATTTAATATATCTGTTTTTGTTTTTTTTTTGTAGATCTGTTTTTGGTGATCTGTTTTAATAGATTTAATGTAGTAGATTTGCTTAAGTAGATCTGTTTTGTTCTATTTTAGTAGATTCTATTTAGTATCTATTCATTAATTTTTTAGTATCTGTTTTTGTTGATCTGTTTTTGAAGATTTAATGTAGTAGATTTGTTGTTATAGATCTATTTTTTTCTGTTTTTGCCTATGTGATTTACTAGATTTTCTTTAGTATATCTGTTTTTGTTGATCTGTTTTTGTTGATCTTTTTAGTAGATTTGTTCTAGTAGATCGATTTTGTTATGTTTTTGCATATTTGATTTACTAGATAATATTCAATATATCTGTTTTTGTTGATATTTTTATTAGCTCTATTTTAGTAGATCTCTTTGAGTAGATATGTTTCAGTATATCTGCATCCTGCTAACACAGTGAAACTGTCTTCCAGACTGCACCCAGACCACCTACTCTGTGTCGGACCCCAGTCCAATGTCCCTCTTCAGCATAAAGACCACAGAGACCAGGACAGCCTGTCCAGCTCCAGTCACTGTCTGGCTGCTCTTGGATCAGCGCTCTGTGATGACCGGTAGAAAAAAATCCTCCTGCTTTTAACAGCAGAACAGTTAGATACAGAACACTTTGAAATGAAACCAGCTTTGGACTGTTTTGGGCAGCTTTTCCTACAGAACAACCTTCAACCTATAATAAATGATTCCCAGTTTAGCTTAGTAAAGATAAATTAACACTTTGGCCAGACTATATCCCTGTATCAGTATTGGCTGATGCGTACACACCTTGCATTAGCATGTTTGGCATCTTGCATATGTGCTTAGAGATCACGCTAAGGACACAAGCATGTTCAATCCCTCCATCAATTGTTAATGTTTTATTGGATTTGGTAATAGATGTTAAATCGAGACCTGTGTATTTGTTATAATTATTTTAACCGCTCACAGCATGGCAGTCACACCCACAACCATCTTTGCTGATTTGGCGCCTGGATGTTAAATTACACTTAAGAGTATCTTAGATGTTAGGTGACATTTTTCCCATTTTTCTCTCTTTTAGCTCTTGGGAAACTCGTCTAGCGTTGATGTGCAGCAGAGCCCAGCAGGTTGCTTCTCCCTCCCCCCCGTCTAAGCCTGCAGAGAGGCCGTGGTTCTATTCGCTTCCCCACCTGCAGGCCAGCTCCGCTTCAGCCTCCTCCCAGAGCAGAGCGCCGTCAGGGGGAGCGGTGGTGCATTTCTCTGTCCCTGAAACATCCACCCCATGTCTGCTTGCTGTTTCTGAGTTCTCTGCACTTTTGACGTTCGTCACTCCTGGTAACACTCAGACCACAGTGGCCTTATGGGATATGGAGTCTGGGAGTTTGAGCTACCACCAGTCAGAAGACGTGGCCGTTCCAGTTCAGCACAGCGGAGAGCGGCAGCAGAGGCTGCTGCTGAAGAGTAAGCTAAGCAGTGACACTGCATTTTGTGTTATTTTTAATGTCCATATGGAAATTTAAGATAAAAACAACTCATTTTAACAGCAGGATTATTGTTATATCAACCATGTCTAAGAAAAATAATCTACCTTAGGTTTTTAATGAAGACCAATCGATATTTATCAACTACGTTTTTGTTGTTTAAATGCAACACATTTTAACTTCAGGACAGTTTTTACTAGCTTCAATTAAATATGAATTCAGCTCCAGCTTCCTTATGCACCTATAAACATCCAATATACTATAACTCCTGATCATTTATAATATGCATATAATTTCTTTAGCCTTTCCTCAGCATACATCCAGTCTGCATGTATGTTTATAGAAAGATGCTAGATGCAGAAAACAGACAGTTCTGGCCTCAATGCTCTTATGTTCAAAGACTGCGCTAATCAGCTATGTAATAAAGGAAGGTTATTAAGACTGATGGTGTGATTGGTGTCCTCCAGGGTCAGGTGTGTTCCAGGTCATGTTCTCCATGCCCCAGCAGGATCTATTAAGCAGGCTGATGCTATTTGGCAGTGCAGCAACGGTGGACGCAGTCTGTAAGCTCAACAGCTGGGGGCACTGCTCCATCCCCTTCCATGCCCTGCAGGTAGGCACATCAGTCCAGTATTTATTGATTGGCTCACATACTGATTGATTTTGTATGATTTAGTTTTTGTTTTCTTTCATACAGGCCGGATTGAAGAACCGACAGCTTGACACGGTGGATTTGTATCTGAAAAGCAAAGAAAATCTCCTGAACTCCTCTGCATCAGTCTGTGTTTCTGAGCAGTCGGCAGACTCCAAGCAAAGTCTCAAAGACAGTATGTATGCTTGGTTATAAATAGTTACTTCAGAACAGTGTGTATGAGGATAAAACAACATTCAGGGGTGATATTAAAGGAATAGTACACCCAAAACATGATTAGCCTTCATTTTCTACTCACCCCCATGCTGAACAACACTCTGGAGTACTTTTTTGATATCTCAAATGCATCTGGAGATCTGGGAGGCTTCTTGCTGTCTGCTGACATTCAAATAATGGAGGTCCATGGCGCCCGAGGCAGAAAGGTCCATAAAAGTCCACAAAAAACGTGTCAATATTCCTCCATACTGCTCGTCCAATGTATTCCAAGTGTCCTGAGTTGGTAGCGTCCATAATTTACTCGAAACGAAGTCATTTAGAATGTTTTTAGAGCATAAACAGTAGTGTATAGGATTTCCTAAATGCGCGTTCATGAGTCTACGGAAACCGCGGCAGACCAAACCAGATGAAAGTGCGCATTCAGCTCAGCAAAGAACTCATGCTCTTCCTCAACACTGAAGTCCTCAGACATTTTTCTTTCGTTGTTTCTTTCTTTGCACAGGTAAACAGCACATTTCTTCTTATACGCTTGCATTATCGGCAGAGCAGACGCTGAATGCGCACTTTCATCTGGCTTGGTCTGCCGCAGTTTCCGTAGGCTCGTGAATGCGCTTTTCAGGAAATCCTATACACTACTGTTTATGCTCTAAAAACAGGGACTTTCGTTTCAATGACTTCGTTTCGAGTAAATTCTGGATGCTACCCACTCAGGACACTTGGAATACATTGGACGAGCAGTATGGAGGAATATTGACATGTTTTTTGTGGACTTTTATGGACCTTTCTGCCTCGGGCACCATAGACCTCCATTTGAATGTCAGCAGACAGCAAGAAGCCTCCCAGATCTTCAGATGCATTTGAGATATCACAAAAGTACTCCAGAGTGTTGTTCAGCATGGGGGTGAGTAGAAAATGAAGGCTAATCATGTTTTGGGTGTACTATTCCTTTAAAGCTTTCTGCCATTGGCCACACATCCATCATTGGATTTCACTGAACCGTTAAAGGTCTGAAGTGCAGCACAGCTAATCTGTGGAAAGAGCAAAAAAAAGTCTGTCTAAAGGGAGGGAGTTTGCTCTGGAAAGACAAGAGTTTGATCTATGAGGTTACAGTGAATGGAGATAAAGTGAAGGAACAGACTGAATAAGAGCTAAGGAACATTACCAATCAGCATGTGGGGACAGTGGAGAGGAAATCTACCCTTTAGCAGGAAGAAACCACCCTAACCGAGCCAGGCTAAGTCTGAGCGGCCTTCTGTTACTCTAGTTTTGAGAGGATGGCATACACAGAAAGATAACAAAGCTGTACTGATGTAGATGTATTTCCTATGTGAGGGAAGCACAAGGGCTTAATAACACAGTAGCAGATACTGTAATGAGAAATGCAGCAAAACAGATAATGACCCAGTACTCTAGAAGGTGAAAGAGATTAAAACCTTAGCCAAGCTATGTCTATGAGAAGAAGACAACACGCCCACATGTATCCCCTGTAGAAGAGGATCAGAAAGTCAATGGCAGCAGCAGCAGCTCAGCCATTGTCCTTCTTAAGAATGTTGTCACAGCCAAACAGGAAGACCAGATGAAGCTACTATGATGGGGAAAGCAGAGAGAATCTAAAGTTATAGGGTGAACTAACAAACACTGCAGAATGAGATAAAGCTGAGATAGAATGAAGCAGTATGATGAAATAGGGGTCTCTATGTCCTCCAGCGGTCTAACCCTATAGCAGCATAACTATAGAGATAGCTCAGAATAACCTGAGCCACCCTAACTATAAGCTTTATCAAAAAGGAAAGTTTTAAGTCTACCCTTAGAAGTAGACAGGGTGTCTGCCTCACGGACTAAAACTGGTAGTTGGTTCCCAGGAGAGGAGCCTGATAACTAAAAAATCTGCAGATTGAGAGTGAAGTGCTCTGTTAGGAACATAAGGAACAATCAGATCTCTGATATCAGATGGAGCTTGGCCATTTAAGGCTTTATATGTGAGAAGGAGGATTTTAAATTCTATTCTGGATTTAACAGGAAGCCAATGAAGAGAAGCCAGGATAGGAGAGATATGATCTCTCTTTTTAATTTTCATCATAACTCTGGCTGCAGCATTTTGGATCAGCTGAAGGCTTTTAACTACAGTTTGTGGACTTCCTGATAGTAAAGAATTACAATAGTCCAGCCTTGAAGTAACAAATACATGAACCAGTTTCTCTGCATCACCCCTAGACAGGATATTTCTAATTTTTTCAATATTCTGCAGATGAAAGAAGTAATTCTAGAAACCTCTATGATATGGGATTTAAAATGTCTCTTTAAAAAGATGCTTAAAGGTTTTTCCACTTGAATATCAGAAGCCAGTTAGAGTGATGCAACTATTTAGTGTTTCTAACCGTGTGTAATTCTGTTGATCTCCCGTCCACGCACGCATCCCTATGTAGGTGTCCAGGAGCTGTTTCTTGCGTTGGACCTGTTGTGTTCAACTGTCAGAGATTTAAACAGTGAGGCTCAGAGCAGACAGTTCTCTGAGCAGCTGCTCAACCTCACTCTGAGCTTCATCAACACACAGATCCGCTCGGTGCTCTTGCTACCACACTGTAAGACAAACTGCAAACAGTAACATTTTATCGAAATGTGTTTTTAGTATTTTGCCTTCAGAGACTTTGACCTGATATGATGCTTTAATTTGCAGGTGAAAACTCTGATGTACTGAACAGTGTGAAAATCCTGGATACATATGTGACAGAGTTGAGGAATTATTTGAAGAGGTTTCCCTGGTCCTCAGAGAGCAGCACGTCTAACAGTGGTGCTGCTCCTCCCAGGGAGGATGAAGGAGATGAATGGGAGCAGCTTACCACTGAGGTATATTTTCTCTCACATTCCATTTATCCTAATTTAAAAATTCTTCATATTTTGTCACTGTGACGTGTCCATTCAATAGAACCCAAATATTGACTTGTTTATTCTTTGCAGGAAGCGATCTATCAGGCAGTTCTTACCAACCAGATCCCGAGAGCTCAGGCTGTGATGTGGAGACTGAATCGACCTGAGCAGCATCTGTCTGCTCTGAGGATGGTGGGGCTGAACCATGTATTGTCCTGCTTGCAGTCCGGGAACCTGCAGACTGCTAAAACACTCCTCACTAACATGGTAGGAACATATTCCAATAGGAAACGAGTATCATGGTCCATCTATCTTTTTACTCAGGGATGACAGTATCCCTAATCAAAGGATCTTGACCCATTTCAGTGACTGAAACATTCAAATAAACCATCCATCCATCCATCCATTATCTTACACGCTTGTCCCAATTGGGGTCGCGAGTGGTGCTGGTGCCTATCTCCAGCAGTCAATGGGCGAGAGGCGGGGTACACCATATTAAATAAACCATATTGAATAAATATTTCATATTTTACATATATAGGTATTTATAAAAGTCTTTATAAGATGATGAATACATGATGCTGTTGTAAAATTAAATGCATTGGTATGCTTTAATATTTTAGCAAATTTATTTCTGTCTGAACAGTTTTATTCCGTCACTTTCTGCACAGTTTGGACAATAGGAAAAAAACGCAGTTATTAAAAAAGGTAATAGAGAAATATATTTATGTATTTTAAAGGAATATATATATTCCTTTAAAATACAAGAACTTATTAAGTGAAAAGCTAACCCCAAATTCAACATCTTATGCTTTAAGAGACATAGAAAGTGAAACCAGATGTAATTCCACTGAATATGATGAGTTGAACAGATCTATAATGGGAGGATATATTTCTATAAATTACTCTAAATATGGGTTATAGGTAATTTTGTCCCTCTTTACCTTTATTCCACCTGTGTTCCACTCTGTCCCCCTCTCCTCCTCTCTCTCTCTCTCTCCTCCTCTATTCCCTCTCTGTCTCTCCTTTCATTCATTCTTTCATTCTCTCTCTGAAAATAATATTTAATAAATCTCAGATTGGAGAAATTCACTCTCTGCATTTAACCCATCCTCTCGGGGAGCAGTGGGCTGCCATTGTGTGTCGCCCGGGGATCAGTGTGGGGTTAAGGGTTTTGCTCAGGAACCCAGAGTGGATGCTGTGGGGACTGAATCGGGTATTTGTAACTTTCTCAGAGCAGAAGCTATGTTTAGTCAAATATGTATTTCTTACCTGAAAAATGTAATTATAGGAAAAATTTGCCAGTTGGAATAAGTAACTAGCCTGAGGGAGAGTTTCTGGTGAGTTAAATCAGAATCAGAATGCCTTTATTTGTCATTGTACAGAGCACAATGAGATTTGTTCCGGAATAACCCATTTTAGATGCAATACAGCATGCATGAGGGACAGGAGACTGAAGCTGCAGCCAAGGGAACCTGACACCCTTGTTAAAAAGATAATAGCAATCACTTTATTTTTTTTATTGATCTTACTTAGTATTTGCAATATTTTTCAGTTTACTTTACCAACATTGTTTTTAGTCTAACAGGAGACTAATTGACTAAATTAGCATCTAAAGACTGGTCCTCAGTATCCACTGTCCTGTTTATTTTGGTCTCATGGATGATTCCAAGACAGACTAGATTGTGGCTGTAGACGCTTCCAGCAGATCCTGAGGGAGATGGAGGCATATGAAGCACACCCTCTGCTGGACCTACACCTGAACTGACTCTGTAGTCCTGTCCAAAGGAGGGTTCTGTACAGATAAACCTAGAGACCTAGTGGTTTGGGCATTGTGCTTGGATCCCAGAAGTCCTGAGTTCAAGCCCCACTCCCACAGACTGCCACTCTGGGTCCTTAAGCAAGACCCTTAACCCCAAACTGCTGTTTAATGCTGATTTAATTTTGTTGCTCTTTACTTGTGACAGTGTAATGACAATAAAGTTAATTCTTCTTCTATATCAGTATGTAAAAGCATGGGTGTTCCAACCATCTGTTTTTTACACATAAAGGGGAGGCAGGTGGTAATAGCTCAAATTTCCTATGGATACCATTAGTGTTCTGTGGAGAGGGTGAATGTCTAAAAAGCTACAGCTCCTTTCTGGTTCTCAGCTGTCACCTCAAAGCTTCTCGTGAATTGGAGAAAAGTTTCAAATCTGCTCCTCTGGGTTGGCTGTGGTGGCACAATGGGTAGCGCACACGACCCATTTATGGAGGCCTTAGTCCTCGATGGGGGCGACCTGGGTTTGAATCCGGCTCGTGGTCCTTTCCCGCATCCCCCTCCCCCTCTCTCATACCACCTTTCCTGTCAGCCTACTGGCCATAAAAACAAGCCACTAGTGCCGTAAAAACTTTGAAAAAAAGAATTAGAATTAGCATGGCTACATGTATTGTGATGCAAACAACAGACTAAAGTGATGACCAGTACTTACTTAACTGTTACTATCAAATTAACAATTGAATTGACATCTACAGCAAGAAGCATTATTTAGAATTATGTAAGGCAGGATATGATGAAAAGAGTTAGAATTTAGTTCTTAGTACACCTAAGAAAGATAACGATGAGGATAACGGAGCTACCAGATAAAAATGAGAAGGTTCAGCTAGTTTAGCTGGATCATCAAGGAACGTTTCCTCTCTCACTAAATAGTGAAACTGTTCCAATTAAGTATAATGATTGACATTATTTTTGTGATTGACATTTTTTATGTCATTCGAAATTAAAGATGCACATCTGTGGCGATAAGCTGAATATTCTTTAGCTGAATCCCTACATTTAGTCTTTCTTGCATTAGTACTGGGCTGTAAGCTAGACTGATCTCATCATCGACTGAAGCAAACGGTGCAGGGGTTTCCTAACATCAAGGTAGGGAGCAACCCTACCTCTGGTGCCACTGTCACCTTGGCGTGACTCGCTGTTCATTTTCCTGGCAATGTTAAAGTTGAGCTGCAACATATTGTCATCTGCAGGGTCTAAGTGTGAAGAAGGAGCTTCACAGCATCTGCCTTTACACCAAAGACAGGAACCTCCGGGAATTATTGGTGAGTCCGTCTATTTACAGCAAACACCATAAAGAGTTACCATATAACTCATCCTTTAGCATCTGTTTCCAGCTGTCTCAAACTGTTGAAGCGGGCGCGGGACAAGATGGACTGTTGTGTGTTTGTGAATACGAAATTCAGTTAGAGTTTAGCTTGCAGGCAAGGTTAGCGCAAAGCAAGAAAACCAAATAATCAGCTTTTGATAAACTGCGTCCAAACATGGAACTGCAGTTATTTGCATAAAATAAAACATAAAAACAACAGAGTTTAAGATCCAAATGACAACTGTGACTGTAAATTTAAAGGCCTTTTAAACCTTCAGCCTGTTATCATATCTTATTTGCCCTAAATGGAATGTCATACGTTTGCCAGATCTTATTGCTCTCCAGAAATGATGTGGAAAACAGTATTTTTGTTTGATAATGTGTTTGCTTTTTTGGAATTTTAGCCAAACCGTTTTCTGTCTGTCAAGTATTGTCCTGTAGATACCAGCAGAATATGAGGCATTATATTACAGGACAGTAATTCAATTCAGTTAATTTATACAGGGCCAATTCACAACACGTCATCTTAAGACACTTTACAGAGACAATTCAACCAGATCATATAGTCAGATTGGTTTAAAGATTTCTAAGGAAAACCAGCTTAGTGCAACGACTCATCGACTCAACAGCAATCCCTCACACAGAGCATGAATGTAGCGACAGTGGAGAGGAAATACAGGCTCTAGCTTGGATGAAAAGAGTTTAAATCAGTTAAGTAGGTGAGTTAAACTCATCCAACTACAACGTAAAATTTTAAAAAAGAAATCTATTCAGATTCAGAAAAAAAGCTGCCCGGGGCAGTGTCACAGTCCAACAGATCCAGAACAGATGGATATCTATGATGAAGAAAAGCATAGAGAACATAAAGTTAGGTATTGAACTAACAAATACTGCAAAATAGGAGAGAAGAGGTATAATCAAAAGTAGTCTCTATGTCCTCCAGCAGCCAAAGCCTATAGCAGCATAACTATTGACATAAAATGAAACAGAATGAAGCAAAGTGGTCCCTATGTCCAAGTTATTCACCTATCAGATGGCGTGTATGAGCACTAATTTCTGCCACATTTGTTGCTTCTTGTAATTCAGACTCTGTTAATTACGTTTTGTTGATTGAATGACTGAGACTTTATTGCTTGTGCAACCATAACTAAAATTGGTGTGTTTAAAAGATTTGTAATGCAAGACTTTAATATCCTTGTTCCTGAACTGCTGCACTTTAGTGCAGAGGAGACAGTTTTTGTTGCCTGTCTTTGTCGGAGGTGAGAAATCTAACAGTGTGCTTGTTGACTTGATCAAGTTCCGGTACCAGTTTTAAGACTCTACATGCAGGAGTACCAGTCTATTTCAAAGAGCTGGTTGACCCTTAAAGAGCTCTGATGTTAGCAGACCTCTCTGTTCCAGTCACCCATTTGAGACAGAAAATCTGTTCAGCATTTTCTGTAGAAAACTTTAATTGATGGACCAAAATCCTGCTCCATATGGTGCGTTGCATTAAAGATAAAAAAGCTGACTTGTTTTACGAGGCTTTCTTAGAAATTCCTTTTTGTTTGAACGTGTTTTTCTATCATGCATTTTACTCGACAGGCCATGCCAGTCTGCTTTTTATAGCTCTATGTTTTATGGATCAGGTGGAGGATATGTCCAGCCAGGGTTTTTTGCCTGAAGATGAGATGCAGAGTGTTTCATTCATCAGGAAGATGGAGAAGCTGGGTTTACTACCAGCAAGGTCCTGTCCCGCTGATCCCCTTTCTCAGAGGTACACAGACTGTATTGTCTTAGATGAATGCGCATGTTCAACAGAAAAAATTAACATGTCAAAATAATAAATATGAAGGGGTGTTTATATTTTATTTCATTAGTAATTTCAGATTTCACATGGATGCAGATTTCTATATAAACCAATAAATTTTTCCTTTGCTCATGTTTTTATTTCCTTGCAATAGTTTATCTTACTGTTTGACGGAAAAAGTTCTTAATTCTTTGTTCTTGAACAGACGTTGTTCTATGTCTGGGACCCTCAGCTGATCAGATTTAAATGTTCCAGGGTTCCTCAGATTGCTCATGATGAGCTAGAAGGCAGAGAGTTGCTGGAGGAACTGGTTGAACAGAGGAGCCCTGAGGAGGTGGGAGAACTCTGGAGGAACATCCAACTGCACTGGGTGAAGAACTGGGACCATGACTGCCAGACTGCTGTTCTCTTATCCAGGCTACAGCACACAGGTGAGGAACCAAGTCCAAACCAAACTAGAAGGGTTCTGTAGCCCCACATTGTTCATTTGAACACCAATGATCTTCTCTTCTGTCAGAGTTGAGCCTTGGAGACTCTTCAGTGTTGTGGCGCTACCTAACTTCTCTCCACGACAAGCAGCAGGTGGTTGAATGGATTCACAACCAACGGAGCTCCGATTCCCTCTGCTGGCCGGACATAACTCCAGAGGTGGTTAGCAGTAGTACGGCGTGCAGCATCTTCTTCAAGGAGAACGTCCTGGACCTTCTAGCTAGGTAGAGTAGCTATTCATTTTTCTATCAGCTCCTTGTGTTTTAAGATGAAGGTTTTGGAAAAGAAACACTGATTCTTCCTCTTAGTGGTTCTCCTGTTCATGAACATATCAGGGTCAGTATCAACATATCCAGCTTAAGGCTGTTTGGGTCCAATTTTAGGTTTAAGGGTAGGAGGAAGGGAACAAAGTCCAGTCATCTCTAGTTTCTACCTCTACTTAAGACATTTCTGCATATGTTGATAAATGATCCAGGTGGAAAAAAAACAAATATCTCATCTTGTTGAATCCAACTGATGGTCAGGTTACGGAACTAGTCCCACTATTATCAATATAAAATATAAAATCTTTGCAGTATTATTAGAACAATTATACAAAATTATATAAAAATATACTAAAGTTAAAGCAGAGTGGAGACCTGAGATGGTCCAACAAAGGCCGGGGACCAGGGCAGAACACCGCCTTGACACAGCCAATACCCTCACTAGGTCACCCATGATCTCCAAACCCTGCATTTAGAGACGGGTCAGCACAATCAGAATGAACCAGCCAACCAGAACCGCCTCCAGGATGAAATGGCTTCAGCTACAAACCATCACCGCTACGGTAGCCTCAGACACGGACCACCAACCAGCCCGACCTCAGCCTCATCCCCTGGATCCTCCTAACTCACTTTACCCACCTCTGTCCAGGACCCAATGGCCAAGAGAAAACCACTCTGCATAGCCACCCCCCACCCCCTAACCCACATGCCCACACCTGGCCTACCCTCTCCTCAGCAACCACAGCACCCCAATGTACCCCATCCTTCCAACCAATTCACAGTATAAATTAAAGTATACTTAAAATCATCCTCCAGCTGTGTTTTTAATTCACTCATAATAACATTTAAGTCTGCCCTTAGTTTGTGGAAGTAGACTGTAGTTTGGTTTCCTCAGTTCTGGTCCCTGGTGGTCTGCTGTCCTGCACCTGTTAGATGTCAATTAATCATGTCTATAGCCAGACTCTGGAGAGCTTGACTTCATGCTTAGAAGGTCATCAAGTGTGAAAGTAGAGACGGATATAAAGGGAGCAGGACATCCAGGCCGGACCTCCAGGAACTCTATCTGGTGGAAACAGCCCAACGATTAGATCCAAACCTATAACCATAGCAACGAATGGGACCTTCCTTATTTGTCCCTGCCAGGCCTCTGGAAGCTGGGACCAACAGAACGGCTCAGTGTTTTGGTTTTTTTATAGTTTTTTTATATATATATTTTTTTTTTTTAGAGCTTGGATGTTTAAAGGTTTTGGTCTTCAATATGTTCAGGCTTCACTTTTATTCAGTCTCATTTTACCCATAATGCCCTCTGCTTCCCCAGGAAAGCTGTGTTCATCCCAGAGGAGATGTCAGACTTGGAGCAGCTGTTATGGCGGTTGGCTCAGGGTGGGGGGCTGATGGCTCCAGCTCCTCCAGTACCTCAGTACTGCTCTCCCGTAGGCCTCGACCTACACAGCGCCTTTGTCTCTTTCTGTCTGGAACGTAATCTCCAGTACCTGCTTTATACCTACTTGGAGCACTACAGGTATGGCACGGCTGATCAAATCCTTGTTCCTGTGTTTATTCTGTGAAACATCTACTGTGGGACCACCTCCACAGACTAACGCCCAGGAACTGTCCGCTGCTGATGGATCAGAGCCTGTTTGGGAGTCAGCCTTGGTTTGAGATGCTGGTGAAAACCCAGGAGATAACCAGAAACCTGTCAGGTACCCATAATGGCTCTGGCTATGGCTTCTCTTCACAGGTTAATGTTGGTCATGGTGTGGAATCAAAATACCAACATAATCAATGTTGGATGATCTGATTTCCACTTGAGTTAAACTGCTGCGGTTGATAAAGTACCAAACATCCTTCTTTCAAGAACAATTTATCCTGACTTAAATAACAGGAAAAAAGAGAAATGTCACTCTAATTTTCTGTCTGTCTTTGTTTCCAGATCCAGAACTGGTGTTCCAGGCCAGTTTGACCAGTGCTCAGGTGCTGCTTCCTGGGAGCCAGGCATCTCTAAGCAGTCTGCTGTTGGAGGGACACAGTCTGCTGGCTCTGGCCTCAATCATGTTTGCTCATGGTGGGATTGATCAGGTAAAATAAAAGATCTCCACTTAACTCACCATTTCTGACCACCGTAGAAACAGGATAGCAGTGATTCAAACCACACTACAGGAAACACTAATAAATATAGGGAACATGGAGCTGGATGGAATAAGGTGGCCTGAAAGAAGAGGCTGGGATCTCAGGACACTACAGCTGATACAGCTGAGTAGCCAGGATGGAGATGACCTTGACTTTTAAGGCTCTGTTTGAACAGAAGCCCTTGGACCTGCTGCAAGACAGACATGAATTAGCAAGGAGATGGACCTCTATTGATGATACTTGTAGTCAAGTTTTGGTCTAACATAGGGGTTGTCCAAGAATCTCTGTATGATGAATAGAAGGGAGAGCAGAGTGAAGCTCTGACTGCAGTGCTCCTGCAACTGTCGTTGAACATCTCAAAAAAATCCTAACTACGCGCCGGACGGTCGCTAACCTGCGCAGACCTCAAGCGGAAGTGCCCAGACAAAAAGCAGCTGTGATTGGTCCTTGGTACCCCTTTCCTGCTGTCAGTGTGGTTGTCCTTCTCGATCCGGTGCCGGGGCCCGCCACTTTTAAAAACCGAGGAACAACTACAATGGACAACTACGACGAAAGGTTAATCGGTCTTTTTGCCAACTCTATTAACTGAACCTGTTCTTCTTCGATGTCTAGCAACTCTAGATCCATCTCTGTGACAGTGATAACTTGCAGACACGCCATTGTTTTTTAGAAGATAAACACTCCCACCTCCGCCACCGAAGTTCTCGTGACCATCCACCGAAGTCCTTGCGAGTTCTCGAATAGGCTCCCCCTTGCGTCCCTAGAAATTCCAGACTGATGGTGCAGATGTAAACCAGCAAAACTGCTTCACGACCAGACCCAAGCGACATTTGATGTGTGCGGTTGCAGAAGTATAATCCGCCCTCAAGCCTTCACAGGAACAGCTGCAGTCTAGGGGGAAGAGTAGAAATACATCTAGAATTTTTGAAATCTGTAAACTATTAGGTGACAATTAGAGTCTGTGATTGCTGGAAGATAAGAAGGGAAAAGATTCTGGATGTACTAGTGAACAAGGAGTGTCAAAACAAGGCAGTTCTGGTGATGTTTTATGGATGGTATGTGAGGAGTGGACTAGTCATGTTTTGATAACAAGACTACAGACAAAGATGGCCACTGTGTGAAAGGAGAGAGATGGACAGACCGAGGTTAGCCTGAAGGAGACGCTGTCTGAGATGGAGGTTGATAGTTAGGATAAAGTATAGAACTGGGCATCTTCAGCTGAACAGTAGAAGTCTGTTTGAGGGTCGTGGTTTTTATACCAGGACTCTTTTCACTGTTCTTTACGCTGTTTGGAACAGGTGATGATTCAAGGTCAGCAGGCAGGAAGTGTGCAGAGGACTGTCGACCCACAGCTGCTGAAGATGGCGCTGGCCTCCCACAGCAAACTGAGAGCTGCACTCTTTCCCTCTGGATGTTTTGGGAATGGCCCATCATCTGACATCTCCATTTATCAACTCCTTCAGGTAAACACTCTGGGGGTCTAAAAAAAAAAGAAACTTTTTTTTCTTCAACTGTCGAATAAATGCCATGTCTGGTCAGCTGCATTCATGGAGGTAGAGGTCTTCTTATTGTATTTATCCTGTTCTTTTGCAGTCTCTCCATCCTCTTGACGTATCCAGACTGTTTGCTTGGCAGGCGCCAAACACTCTGAATTCTACTGGTAAGCCTGGGCGGGTATTTCTTACATTATGGGAAACTTTTTCCATAAATCTTAGCACATCTTGGGGACCCCCTGCACTTATGGTGACCATGGCATGATCCCCATGGGTACAAATGCTGTTACTTAGGTTTAGGATTGAGGTGTGAATTGAGTTCTATTTCATCCCTACTGACCGCCAGAGGCGGTGCTTCAAGCACTGAATGATCATTCTTGCGCATGCGCAGGTCGAGTATTAATGACAACAAAGTCAGCTGTGACCTGCCGGGGACCCACGTGACTCTATATAGTCACGTGGCACCCGGCAATCAATCCCTTTTGTTCTTCTCGCGCGCAGGTGTGTTGAGTACCGGAGTGTGGTCGTGTGAAGCTGGTTGCTTCTGTGTATACCACTAGTTTCCTGGCTGCTTGTTGCTGGTAGCCCCGTGACCGGGTTTGGTCGGAGCTGCGGGTAAGTCTCGCCCTCCAGGCGCTGCACAAGCTGCTTTCACCTTACCAGATCTGCGGTGACTGGTAAGTTTTCGTTCTTTTCTCAGCAGTAGTTTACTGTTCGCTTTGATTTGCCACGTTAATTTTGTGGCTCTTTTGACTCACGGTAGCGTTTCTGCTCGCGCTGAGTTGTTTTCAGTTTGTTTGCCTAAGCCCACCAGTAGCGTTTCTGCTCGCGTTGGGTTCTTCTATAGTTTGTTTATCTACACTCACCAGTGGCGTTTCTGCTCGCGCTGAGTTGTTTTCAGTTTGTTTGCCTAAGCCCACCAGTAGCGTTTCTGCCCGCGTTGGGTTCTTCTATAGTTTGTTTATCTACACTCACCAGTGGCGTTTCTGCTCGCGCTGAGTTGTTTTCAGTTTGTTTGCCTAAGCCCACCAGTAGCGTTTCTGCTCGCGTTGGGTTCTTCTATAGTTTGTTTGCCTAAACTCACCAGTGGCGTCTCTGCTCGTGCTGAGTTCATCTTTAGTTAATAATCGATTTGCTAGTGGCGTTTCTGCTCACGCTGAGTTTGGAATCTCTGCGGGGGTTTTCCTACAACGAGTCGCCAGTAGCGTTTCCTGCTCGTGTTGACTTGTCCTTGGTAGCAGGCTGATCACGCCTTTCAGCAGTATGATGCTGGATAATTTATGTTGCTCGACCTGTCTGGCTCCACTTCAGCCGGATGACGGGCATGACTTGTGTCCCTCCTGCCTCGGTGTGGAACATCTCCGGGAGGCGCTGTCAGATGACGCTTGCCCCAACTGTCGCGTCATGCCCCGGTCGGTCAGACTGGATCGGTTGGCTGCACTGGAGCAGCCTACCGACTGGGCGAGCGCTTCGCCGCGTGCTCGTTTGCCGATGGGGAAAGCGGTGTGCAAACGATCTACTGTGGCTGCACCTTCGGTACCGACGAAGCGTGCTAGACGGACCGATGCAGGGAGGTTGTCCACCAGAGTGGATCATCTCACTACTGAGCTGGCCCAAATGAAAGCCCTCCTCCAGTCCTTTCAGACTGCTGGTGATCGCGGCACGGCTCTCCCTACCGAGCAGGATGAAACGTCAGTCAATGACGACGATGCTGTTTCTGTGGCGGCCTCTGGCACCCATTTCTGTGAGGACCTTCCGGAGCTGGGCTCCGGGGCCTCTGGGTCGGACTCCATTGCCTCCCAGGAGGATACGGGGGAGTCTGTGACATCCGCTATTCGAACGGCTCTTGCCCGTTTACAGATTAGTGTTCCTCAGGCCCAGCCTGCGGCTTCCAGCGCCTTCTTTAGGCGCAGTAGGTCAGAGACTGCCTTTGTGGTTCCTCCCTCGGCGGAGTATGTGCGGGAACTGCATGCTTGCTGGTCAGACACCAAGGCGTTTTCACGTCTGACGACGGATGGCAGGGTCCTGGCAGCTATGCAGGAGGCACCCAAGGTTGGCTTGGGGCAGATGCCAGCGGTGGAACCGGGCATTGCCTCTCTTATAATCCCGCCTGATGAGGCCTTGCGGCCCAATGCCCGTTGTCCGCGTCCTCAGTGCCGTATTACCGACGACCTTCTCTGTAAGGCCTATGACTCTGGGGCCCGCATGGGCCGGATTGGGAACTCTCTCTCCCATCTTATGCTGGCCCTGTCTTCCTCCTTGGAATCTGTTCCGCTGGATCATGCCACGCAAGGCCTGGTTGATGCATCTCTGCAGGCCTTTGCTCTTATGACGAGGGAACTTGGACGCACACTCTCCACACTGGTTCATGCTCGCCGCCAGGTCTGGTTGGCGCAGTCACCACTAACTGAGCCTTGTAGGAGGACCCTCCGGGCCCTGCCTGTGGTCCCGGGGGAGCTTTTTGGTTCAGCGGCACTGGACGCCTTGGACCGTACGGCTCAGGCCTCTAGAACGAGGCAACAGCTGGCAGGGCTTCACAGACGTGATCGCCAGCCAGTAAGCACCTGGGCAGCTGCGGGTCCTTCACGGAGGTCCTTAGTGCCTTCTCCTTCTCCCACTGAGCCCCAGGGTCTGTTACCAGGTCAGAGATCGGTCCGGGGACCTGCTCTAGATCGGAGGAACAGAGCTCGAGACCAGGCTGGGACGAGGTCCTTTCATCCCTTTTGAGCCGCGCAGTCTGGCCGGCGTCCTCCTGGGCCTTCGAAGGGCCGGGGGACCCGCAGATGATGCCTTAGGGCCGGCGGTCGGTTATTTTTCCCCGGGACAGCTCAGCTTCTGGGCTGCCCACACCCCGGACTTGTGGGTGTTGTCCACCCTGTCCCGGGGGTACCGTCTTCAATTCCGCCGCCGGCCACCTATCCCTGGCCGGGTCAGGATGACTGTGATCCACGACCCGGTGAAGGCACAGGCACTGAACCAAGAAATCTGCACCTTGCTGGCCAAGGGTGCTATAGTGCCTGTGGACCCCCTGCTGGATCCAGGGGGCTTTTATTCCACGTATTTTCTGGTTCCGAAGAAGACCGGGGGCCTGCGTCCAGTCTTGGACCTCAGAGGCCTGAATGTGTACTTGAAGGCCATGCCCTTTCATATGCTGACCACCAAGGAAGTGTTGCAGGCGATTTCCCCGGGCGATTGGTTCACTTCCATAGATATCAGGGATGCTTATTTTCACGTTCCGATCGCTCCGCCCCATTGGCGGTTTCTTCGTTTTGCTTTTCAAGGGAGGCATTTCCAGTTCAGGGTCCTCCCGTTCGGACTTTCACTGTCCCCCAGGGTGTTCACCCGATGTGTTGCAGCGGCCCTCTCTCCTCTGCAGGCACAGGGATTGAGGATCCTCCCATATCTGGACGACTGGCTCATTTGTGCCGCGACGTGGGACCAGGCGGTTCGAGATACTCGGTTAGTGCTCCATCATGTGGGATGCTTGGGCTTGCAGGTGAACATGGAGAAAAGCAGTCTGACCCCCTCACAGGAGACTGTCTTCCTGGGCATTGCCATGGATTCCATCTCAATGACTGCTTGCCCGTCACCCCAGCGGGTGGACAGTATATTGAGCGTGCTCCCGGAATTCAGGCGCGGCATGGCGCTGCCTCTTGTGCGGTATCTTCGACTCTTGGGCATGCTTACAGCTGCGTCCGCCGTAGTGCTCTTGGGGCTGCTGTCATTGCGGCCCCTCCAGATGTGGTTGAACAGCTTGAATCTGGATCCCACACGGAACACTCATCGTCTCCGAAGACTTCGGGTGGGGCCTCAGTGTCTTCAGTCTCTGTCCCAATGGAGGGTGAGGTTGTTTATGACCACAGGGGTCCCGCTCGGTTCCCTCCCGTGTCGTCGGGAAGTTGTGTTTACAGATGCATCCTCCACAGGCTGGGGTTCAACCTGGCGGGGTCAAATGGCACAGGGGACATGGTCCCAGCGGCAGGGCAGGGAACACATCAATGTCCTGGAGTTACAGGCTGTGCTTCTGGCTCTTCAGAGCTTTCTTCCAGGCTTGCGGGGGAAGCACGTGCTGGTGAGGTCAGACAACACCACAGTGGTCTTTCACATCAACCACCAGGGGGGCACGAGGTCAAGGAAACTGTTGTGCTTGACTCAACGGCTTCTGACCTGGGCAGCTCCACGCATAGCCAGCCTCAGAGCAGCCTACATCCCAGGGCCGGAGAACGTGCCAGCAGATTTTCTATCCCGTCAGAAGCCGCTTCCAGGGGAGTGGAAGCTTCACCAAGAGGTGGTGGAGTGCATCTGGAAGGTCTTTGGCAGGGCGGACGTGGACCTCTTTGCCTCAAGGGACGCATTTCACTGTCCCCTTTGGTTCTCGTTGGACAACAGCAGCCCTCTGGGCCACGATGCTCTGGCACACGACTGGCCCAGGACCCTCCTTTATGCCTTTCCGCCATTCAACCTACTTTTTCAGACTCTCCTCAGGGTACGTCAGGAGGGGCACAGGGTCCTGCTGGTGGCCCCCTACTGGCCAGCGAGGACTTGGTTTCCTCTACTGTGCGAGCTCAGCTCCGGCTCGCCAATGCGTCTCCCCTCCAGGAGAGACCTTCTTTCCCAGATGGGGGGTCAGATCTTGCACCCCGAACCGGACCGGCTCCAGCTCTGGATTTGGCCCCTGCAAGGCCGGGGTCCACCTTCTCAAGATACACTGGGTCCATAGGGCATACAATGGCTAATGCATGGGCGCCGTCCACGCGAGCTGTCTATGCTAACAAGTGGACGGTCTTTGCGACCTGGTGCCGTGATAGAGGGCAGGACCCGGTGTAGTGCTCAGTTTCTGACATACTGACCTTCCTGCAGGCATTGCTGGATCAAGGACGGTCCCCATCTACCTTAAAGGTGTATGTGGCTGCCATTTCCTGTTGGCATGTTGGGCTGAATGGTTGTTCTGTGGGCCGAGACAAGGATGTTGTACTGTTTTTAAGAGGTGCTCGGCGTTTGCACCCACCCAACCGCCCTGTGGCACCGGCGTGGGACCTTTCTCTTGTGCTTGAGGCTCTTCGGTCCCTCCCATTTGAGCCCCTGCCGTCGGCGGACCTCAAATGGCTCTCACTGAAGACTGCGTTCCTTTTAGCTATGGTTTCCGCAAAACGTGTAGGGGAGTTACAGGCTCTCTCGATAGCCGAACCCTGCTGCCGGTGGAATCCTGATGGCTCAGGCGTTACACTGTGGGCTGATGTAGCATTTATTCCTAAGGTATCACTGCCAGCAGGCAGCACCCAGCCTCTCCATCTTGCCCGGTTTGACTCCGGAAGTCCCTCTGAACCACTGTGTCCTGTCCGTGCCCTTGAGACATACATCAATGCCACGGCATCCTTCCGAAAGACAAATAGCCTTTTTGTTTGCTACGCTGGCTCACGGAAAGGTCAGGCACTTTCTAAGCAGCGACTTGCACACTGGGTTGTGGATTTGATCTCCAAGGCTTATGCCTTGCAGGACCGGCCACTGCCGGCGGGAGTGAAATGCCACTCTACAAGGGGCATGTCGACATCGTTTGCTGCTATGACTGGGGTGCCATTGGATGTTATATGTCGTGCGGCCTCCTGGAAGTCACCTAGTACCTTTACTCGGTTCTACAGGGTGAATGTGGCTGCGCCCCATCCGCTTCAGGGAATCCTCGAGCAGCATGCCTCTACATCACATTAGGTGGGTGGTGTAGTCGTTGTTCCTTGAATGTTGCTGATTCCTCGTGACCTTGTTGATATGAGTCATCCAGTGCTTGAAGCACCGCCTCTGGCGGTCAGTAGGGATGAAATAGAACGAAAGTTACTACCGTAACTACGGTTCTATGAATCCCGGATGACCGCCAGAGTGCTTGGTCCCTCGGAATCTCTGCTTTCGCGAGAAGATTGAGGGATTGATTGCCGGGTGCCACGTGACTATATAGAGTCACGTGGGTCCCCGGCAGGTCACAGCTGACTTTGTTGTCATTAATACTCGACCTGCGCATGCGCAAGAATGATCATTCAGTGCTTGAAGCACCGCCTCTGGCGGTCATCCGGGATTCATAGAACCGTAGTTACGGTAGTAACTTTCGTTTTGGTTGGGGTTTTGTTTATGGGGTAAGGGTCAGGGTTAGACAGCAGAAATGATTTAGAAATGAATGGAAAGTCCCCACAAGGATAGAGAAACATGATTGAGTGTATCTTTGTTTGTATAATTTTTTTTAGGACAGTTTTTGTCTATCCGAATGACCTAAAAACTTCTCATACGCGCAATAAACGTAAAGTTTCTGATTACTGAGGTCTTAAACGAGATTTTCTCTCCAGTTCTCCAAACAAGAACATAACAACAGTCACAGCTTCCCTTGAATTCAGAGTGAGACTCATCATTTATGTATTCTCTACAGAAACATCGGAGCTGCCTCATTTTTCCAGCTCTCAACTGGTTGGCAGGTTTGCTCTGGTAGAAAAACTAGACTATCTGTACTACATTCATCATGGCCGTCCCTCTTTCGCATATGGGAACGTTGTCATCCAGCAGCTGGGTGTCTGCAGTGACGTCCAGTCAATGTGAGTTCACGTCCTGTCTCCTTTATTCTCTCGGCAGCTCCTCGTTAGGTCAGGGAAAACAGAAAAGGTCTTGTTTGTTATTATGGTTTTATTCCACAGGCTGCAGAAGGTCTGGTTGCAGGTGTACAGGTTGGCTCTGAAGTGTTTCAATGTGCCGTCTGTGACATCGTCAGCCGTCTGTTTCTGTGAGCTGCTGGGCATCTGCAGCCTAAAGCTGAGGGTGGACATCAGAGCCATGAACACCGTCCTTCAGCACTGGAGCCAACTGGAAAAACACACACAAGCCAAGAATCTGCTCATTCTAAGTAAAAAATATGACACAAAAAGCAACTGAGTATCTTTTTCCGATGAAAATGTTAAACTGCTGTACTAAACTGTTTCAGAGTCTAAAGCTGTAAAGCTGGTGGATGCAGAGCCAGGAGTGGCAGAAGAGCTGCTTGGTTACCTGGAAGCAGCAGTGATGGAAAGTCTGGAGATGAGGGGTATCAGCAGGTCAGCCACTAACTGTCCTACACTCAGCTCTTTATACACAGATCATGGGCTAAGCGTATACCTGTTCAACTTTAAGCCAAAACAAGATCTAAACAACTGATCCTATAAAAAGTCAGAGGTTTTTATGTTTTATATGTTGTTGGATCTAATCTGATCTAATTACTTTAGGCTGTTAGCAGATCATCCTTAAAGGTAGAGGATGTTCTTTTTTCGGGTGGATCATCTAAATTAGTGGTTCTCCTAATTGTCAATCATTCTGGTGATATGTTCATGTAAGGCCGTCCTATGTGCTCGTCCCCACACCAGGGTTGGCAAACCGCGGCTCCAAAGTTGTATGCCGCATGCGGCTCTTTGGCATCCTCCTTGCGGCTCCCTGGAGCTTTTTCAAAAATTTATGAAATTGCTTTTTTATTTTTTTATTTTTTATGGTGTGCAGGAGGTCAAACAAAAATAAATTATGTTTTCCACTGCTGTAAAAATTTGTATAATAAATAAATTTAAACAATAATTTGCGTCGTAGCCATAGAGATCAGAGGTCATAACTTGCAACCAGAGTGGCGTGGTGCCAGGCAAACAAAGCTGCAGGTGTGTCTCGGACCATCGATTCTAAAGGAAAAAAGGAAGATAGCCGATGAGAAAAGAGGATTCAAAGAATGGACTGAATAATTTGCTTTCATTATCAATGCAGGCAATTGCCTGCATTTTTGCTTTGTAATGAGAGGTTGTCAAAAAATAAAAATAAAAATTTGGAAAGGCATTTCAAGGGAAGCCTAAATAATGCAGCTGACCATCAAGTTGGGAGTGAGAGAAAAAGTGTGAGTGCAGAACTTCTGGATAAATTAGAGGAGCGCAAAAATAGATTTAAGAAGTGGATTGCATCTCCAAACTCCACTACTGCTGCTAGTTTTGTTGCAAGCATAGAAAACCAGATCAAACAGGCAGCGCTCTGATGCGGGTATGTGAAACTCTCTTCCATTTTTTTCCCCAAATCCTAAAAATATAAATGTACCAAGGAATGCTGATTTCAGGGTTAGAGAGCTATGCTCTGATGGATGTCAGTTCCTGCTTGGTTCCTCATGACTCAATCAACTCCTCTCAACAAAAACACGTCCAATATAGAAATATTACTTTATTGTGTTTTTATAATTTCATTACTGCAACTAAACTTAAACCGCGTGATGAAGGGTGGTGAAGCGATGGGGACGTTCACTGATCCTCCATCACCTCATGCTGCTATGTGACATTTGCTCCAGGATGAAAATTTAATCATGAATGCTAATTATATATTTAAGCCCACATAGTCCTTTTCTATAGTGTAATAATACACCTAGTGTTTCCATACGAGGCATATATAAGACTTGTACATTTTTGCGGCTCCAGACATTTTTATTTTTTGTCTTTTTTGGTCCAGTATGGCTCTTTGAGCAGTTTTGGTTGCAGACCCCCGCTCTAGCACTCGTTTAATGGGCGTTCCCTCTCGGGAGCAGTTACAGGGTTGTGCATGTGCATTTTTTTTTTTTTTAAGTGGAGATGGCGGGTCTTTTCAGAAATTAGTGAAAATGCTCTGCTATACCTTTAAAAAAACAGGAACGAATCATGTGTCACTTTTTATAATACTTTTTCTAATTCAAGGTAATGCATCCTGCTTATGTAAAGAAAACAATGAGCATGTTTGATGAAATATGGCCTTTGTTACTATGAAATAATAACTGAAATATTAATAAAGACCAGCAGCTGTCACTGCGCTGATCAGCTTCTAAAACTTGGTTTAAGCAATGAGCAGTGATGACGGCGCTCTGCCTCACATCACCACTCACTGATTGGGGAAAGAGGGCATGGCCAGGCACGCCTCATTCAAGGTGGCTGCATCATGAAGGGGGCAGGTAATGACCGCTCTGATCCTTCATGGCCATTTTTCTGCTCAGCGGTTTCTGGTCAGAGGTTGATTTTAACCAGGCAATAAACAGTTTCTTTAGATCCAGTGGAACATCTCCAGGAAAGGATGAGCGATTCTGATGCTTTTAAGTTAAAAAAGCATTAAGTGTACATGTTTCTGTTTCCTTCAGGTTGTCATATGAGGCTGCTCAGGAGTGGGCGCTGCCTGTTCAGTTCTCTAAGCTCCACAGTCTGGAGCTTAGTCCAGTTTATCCCAGGCATTGTGCAGAGGACCGACAATTTATACACTTTTTATTGTTTGTCCAACTCTACAACTTCCCTCTACAGCAGGTAACATGTTGTGTTTTCATGTTTTATAGGGACTTTCCATTGAATTCCACTCATTTCTACTGAACCAGCATTACCTATATATATCTTTTCCTTACATAAACCAAGGTTAGTTAAGAAGTCCCCACAAAGTAGCCTATTTAACAAAAATTGGCCCTAAAACTGTTCCCACAATGTAGGTAAAAGAAGTCCACATACAGAATTATCCATCCTTTTAGGACATTAAATTGACTTCCATTTATATTTATTTATTGTCTATATTAATATCTAATCCTTTAAATCTGTACAGAAAGAAAAAATAAAACAAAGGAATGTGTCTCAGAGAGTGCAGGTGTGGGTGGTGGGGGAGTGTTCTGTGAGGTTCGTGAGGTAATCTTCTGTCCATGATAAACTCTCTAAGGTTGTATTTTTCCCTTCCAGGTCAGGTCCATGCTCCGTCTCTTTGAACCCATTTTGCAGGCTCACCTTACCGTGGCATTTCAAGACCTGCAGGTGCAGAGTCAGACGAGGGACCAAGAGCCGCAGGAACAGTTGTGGGTTCCGAGAAGCGAAGAGGCGGCTGGGAGCTCAGACCTTTTCCAGATGGTACTGCGGAGTCAGCAGGAGCAAATACCAGTCAGGTTTCTCCTACACGAAGCAATGGTCCAGCGCTGCCCAGTGCTGGCAGTTCTTGCTGCGTGTCTGAAGGTAACTTAACAACCCCGGATTCTCGGTTTACATTAGAAGTTGATGGTTAGAGCATTTGACAATGGCTGAAACCACTTGGCTTTAGGTTGAATAACAAAATCCTTACCCAATTCTTCAGAAATGTTTGTCAAAGTTTAATCCTTTGTTGTCTGCTAACTGTATTGAAATCATCCTAATCACACTTTTAGATTATTTTACCCTCCTTTTCTCTTATGTAAGCATATTTTCTCTAAGCCTGTGTTTATTTTTTTTTTATTCTTATACAATCTTCGTCCCATGACTGTAGTCAGCAGCCCCACCAACCTCTTTTAAGGCTGGTGTGAAGAACTTCATAGGTTCCATATTTACTTAAATTAAATCTATGTAGCTTTTTTTTCTAACTCCAGCAGAGTTAAAGAAGATTTTCCAAAGTATTCTGGCTCCATCATTCCACAGAAGGCTATAGGAAACCCAGGGAAAAGTCAGACATCCACTATCAATACTGCAAGCAATAGTCTCCTGCTAAATCACACAGACCCTGTTTTTTTCTAGTAGCTATTATACTTAATGATGATGATCTTACAATAATCTTTAAAATCCTTAAAAATGATCAGCCAAGTTACGTCTTCTTTTAATACATTCTAGTTAAAGTGATTTAGTAAACAGGAAGCAGTCAAATGCAGTAAATTGTCTGATTTAATAAAGTATTCCTACATTGAAAAATGTAAAACCACTATATTGTCTTTAGATAAGGAAAAGGTCTTTGACAGAATTAACTGGAAATTCCTCCTAACATCTTTGCCCAAATTTTATTTTGGAAGCTTATTAATAATCTGGTTAAAAGAATATACATATCGCAACATTGTTTTTTAGCAATTGCAATTTTTATAAAAGCACTAATGGCAGGAATTGGGCATACTAAACTTACTCAGATAATTAGATTGTTAAAATCTTTTCCAAGAGTTTCACATCATTCTATACATTTGACAAAATCTGTAATTTCTCCATTTCGCTGTTATTGCCATGCACCTGCAGTCAGAGAGAATTCCATATTTAGTGTAGATGTTTTTGGATAGATAACCTCGTCAGACGGATATCTCTACCCCTGTCACTTAACCCATTTAGGCCTAAAACGCCTGGAAAAAACACCTTAAAAACCTATGGCCGATTTTAAAAAATACCCCTAAAACCTGAAGTTTTTCTGTAAATTCAGCAACTGTGTCAACGCCTAGTAAATTATTGATATCTCAGCTTCTGTAGCAGATAGAACTCAAAATATATTTTATCTTTGAAATTCTTCCAAAAAAAAAAATGTGAAAAGCAGTAATCAAAAAAAAAAAAAAAATTCAACCTTTTATTTTTTCCATATGTGATCATGTCTTCATTGAGAATGTGCAATATAAAACGTTTTTAAAATAAAGAACAAACACTACATAAATAACTGATGATTACTTATTAACAGTATTATTATGCATAATAATGCATATGTCTGTGTTATAAATTGCATACAACTTACCTCCAGATGGCCACAAATCTGTCCCGGGACATATTTTGGGGGAACTGCGTCCTGAAGAGAGGTTTACTCTGTCGCCAATAATCTCTTCGTACTGGCAACACAAGAAGTCCTATGCCCATACACAGCCCAATAAATGTCTTCATCTCCGTCACAGTCACGGGTGACCACTTTGCCATCTTTGCTCTTGTTGGAGTTTGGTTTGTTTGGTCACTGTACCTATTCGTCTCGGTAACAAGATGCATCCAAAGTTCTTCATTAAAAATATGCTCAAATGCCTGCAGCGGTGTGGCGTCTGCAGGCAAATCAACTTTCACTCCAGGTGTGCGGTTGAAAACACTCCGTGCATTGCGCTGGTAGTTCGATTGGTTCAGCGAGTTCAAAGTCATCATTTTCATCTATACCGTCATCAAAGCCGACACACTCCTCAAAATCACTGCCTTCCGACATCTCTTCTCTGTCAAACTCCTCCATGTTTGCTTGAAAAAAACTTCTTTCTTCTTGCTTGACTTATATGCTCTCCCGGCGTCAATGGTAGAATTACGCAACAGCGCCCCCGGCTTGAATGGTAGAAATGCGGTTATGCTTTCCCGGCCTAAATGGGTTAAGGGACGGGTTCATTTAATAAGAAATTGATATTATAGCCAAAAAAATAGCTTATTCTCAGAATCTCAATAAACCGTCATCTAATTTGTTAGATCTCTGGACTGTTTCATCTACCGGAAAAACTGTTTTCCTTGGGGAGATAAACCCCCTCGCATTAGCCAACAAATGCTACGAAAGACTTCAGATAAAGGAGAACTAGATCTACCTAACTCTCATCTGACCTTGGTGAATAGTCTACAACAGATCTGAAAATGGTTAAATATAATCCCTTAGATGAGTCCTCGTTTTGCAATGATATCCAGATTAGAGACGTATTAGCTTAAATGTGGCACTTAAATGTGGCACACATCAGGGGGTATAAATAAATTTCTGCCTGACAAAAACACACAAAAGTAAATCACTTATAGCCTCAAAGCTATTAGATTTAAGAAGAAACTTTTGGTACGTCTGTAAAGGTAAGATGTCATAGAATGGTTTTCTGGTGTCAGCACCATTGTAGCTTTGACCCTGCCTGAAATATTAGGGACAAAATACAAAATATTTTGAATTTTTTTAACCTCGACAAAATTTTCTTTGAAATAAACATTGCAAAACACTACCAAAATATTATTTATAGCACAAAAAAGTAGTACAGACTTTTAAATCTAAATGTTGTGTAAAAATATACCAAATTTGGACTCAATCAGATGAATCATATTTATTTTAGAATGGTATTAGTGAGAAATTTCTTAGGCGGAGGGGCCATTTTCTCACATTTATCCAAAAATGTCACCAAACTGTGCCAAAAGTGTTTTTTACATCAATACTGGGGGTTTGTTAAAATTACGAGGTCACTCGTAGCTGGACCCACCGGTGGGTCCGTAGGGTTCTAGGGGTTAAAAAGCTCCATATCAGCTGTTCTCGGTTTTCACATATCCTATGCAATCACTCAACCATCTAGAACAGCCCTGATTTCCTACAAACAATATGATCCACCTCACACACTGGAGGGTAAGGGAACTGAATACCTGGAACATATTTGAAGGAACTGATTTTAATTTAGCAGAATTTTTTTTTTTTAAACAGTAGATACATTTAGCATTTTTTGTAAGTCTAAGTGGGTTAAGTTTGTGGTCCAACTGTTTTATTTGCTTTACAAGCTGCTTTTATTATGTTATTGTATATATTACTGAAGTGTCCTATACAGATCAGTCTACCTTGCCCTGATTTACAGGTTCTGTGCCAGTAGGTGTGAGTAGTTAGTTATATCGCTGGTAGTGTGGGCCCTCCCAGCCCTCGATGTATCGTTTTTTTCTGGTCTGAACTTGGTACGTCCTATCACTGATTACAGGTGTTAATTATAGTTATTGTTATTAAATGCTATTGGCCCAATAATAAGTCCTGCTATTCTTCCATTATCTTTTTAGTTCTAACTTTTGGTGAACTAAAGAATTATTAAATGGTTTTAAAATATATTTTTAGATAGATATTGATAATCAAATCATCATTACTGCACTAGAGTGTGGTTTGCTGTTTAAAAGCAGAAAGTTGTGTTTTCAGAGACTGAGCTGCTTTGTGTTCTGGATCAAACAGTTTGATGTGTTAAAGATGTTATTTCTTTATCAGCATAACAGCTGTAAGAAAAGCTCTAGTTTGATCAAAAACTGAATGATGGTTTACTTTCTGGCCTAGTCTTGGTTCAATGGTGGGTAGACTGTATCCTACATATGTTCTGGGTTCAATAAACTCACAGCCTCATTACATCCTGAAGCGCTTTGTTCTGTGAGGAATTTAGGATTACTGTTTAATTCAAGGCATAATCTTGTCCAAGAGATGCACTCTGTTGAGTTAAAAAAGAAAAAGTGAAGCTTTATGGCATTTTTATGCCACATATTGCTGCAGAGTGAATGATCACATCCGCTGGGAACAGTTTGTGTTCTGAAAAGGATTCTGGGACGTTGTCCTGTTCCTGCTAAAGTTCACTGCTCTCTCTGGTCTGTGTTACTGACAGACAGCAGAGCTGCTGCCATGCCTGTGTGTGTGGATTCTGACCTCTGTGGATAACAAGACAGCAGAAGAGGCCACATCACACCTGGCTGAAGCCCCACAGCACCATGAATGGACCCTACATGACCTGTCAATCATCTGGAAGACTCTGCTATGGCGGGGTCATTTCAGGATCCTCCTGCGAGGATTTGAACTTTTCCAGCAGGTAATGGTGTGTTTGATTGTTCCTATGTTTATAATGGTGTTCTTTCTGCTAAATGAAAATCTTTACTGCTGCAATATCAGTGGTTTTGTCTCTTTCTTTTTTCCCAGGACTGCCCTCTGGTATTGGTGCTGAGAATGTTTGAGCTGTGTTGTGATTACAGGAACTTTACGGAGGCTAAAACAAAGTTGATGGACTTTCAGAGGACGCTGATTGCTGTGAGTCTGAATTGGTCTCTACACTTCAATAACAGAAAACCGAAATGCTCAGCTCTCAATATGATAAGACTAGGATACAGAAATTTTGAACCTGACTACTAACCTTAGAGAGCAACTGCTCACCCTAGAGACCGAATGCTCAACCTAGAGACTGAAAGATAAGCCTAGAGACAGACTGGTGATCCTTGAAACAGACCGCTGACCCTAGAAACTGAGTGCTCACCCTAGAGACAGACTGCTAACCCCAGAGACCGACAGCTAACCCGAGAGACCGACTGCTAACCCCAGAGACCGACTGCTAACCCCAGAGACCGACTGCTAACCCCAGAGACCGACTGCTAACCCCAGAGACCGACTGCTAACCCCAGAGACCGACTGCTAACCCCAGAGACCGACTGCTAACCCGAGAGACCGACTGCTAACCCCAGAGACCGACTGCTAACCCCAGAGACCGACTGCTAACCCCAGAGACCGACTGCTAACCCCAGAGACCGACTGCTAACCCGAGAGACCGACTGCTAACCCGAGAGACCGACTGCTAACCCGAGAGACCGACTGCTAACCCCAGAGACCGACAGCCAACCCCAGAGACCGACAGCCAACCCGAGAGACCGACAGCCAACCCGAGAGACCGACAGCTAACCCGAGAGACCGACAGCTAACCCGAGAGACCGACAGCCAACCCGAGAGACCGACAGCCAACCCCAGAGACCGACAGCCAACCCCAGAGACCGACAGCCAACCCCAGAGACCGACAGCCAACCCCAGAGACCGACAGCTAACCCGAGAGACCGACAGCTAACCCGAGAGACCGACAGCTAACCCGAGAGACCGACAGCTCACCCCAGAGACCGACACCCGAGAGGCCGACAGCTAACCCGAGAGACCGACAGCTCACCCCAGAGACCGACAGCTCACCCCAGAGACCGACAGCTAACCCGAGAGACCGACAGCTAACCCGAGAGACCGACAGCTAACCCGAGAGACCGACAGCTAACCCCAGAGACCGACAGCTCACCCCAGAGACCGACACCCGAGAAGCCGACAGCTAACCCGAGTGACCGACAGCTCACCCCAGAGACCGACAGCTCACCCCAGAGACCGACAGCTAACCCGAGAGACCGACAGCTAACCCGAGAGACCGACAGCTAACCCGAGAGACCGACAGCTAACCCGAGAGACCGACAGCTCACCCCAGAGACCGACACCCGAGAGGCCGACAGCTAACCCGAGAGACCGACAGCTAACCCGAGAGACCGACAGCTCACCCCAGAGACCGACAGCTCACCCCAGAGACCGACAGCTCACCCCAGAGACCGACAGCTAACCCGAGAGACCGACAGCTAACCCGAGAGACCGACAGCTAACCCGAGAGACCGACAGCTAACCCGAGAGACCGACAGCTCACCCCAGAGACCGACAGCTCACCCCAGAGACCGACAGCTCACCCCAGAGACCGACTGCTAACCCCAGAGACCGACTGCTAACCCCAGAGACCGACAGCTAACCCGAGAGACCGACAGCTAACCCGAGAGACCGACAGCTAACCCGAGAGACCGACAGCTAACCCCAGAGACCGACTGCTAACCCCAGAGACCGACTGCTAACCCGAGAGACCGACAGCTAACCCGAGAGACCGACAGCTAACCCGAGAGACCGACAGCTAACCCCAGAGACAGACTGCTAACCCGAGAGACCGACAGCTAACCCGAGAGACCGACAGCTAACCCGAAAGACCGACAGCTAACCCGAGAGACCGACAGCTCACCCCAGAGACGACACCCGAGAGACCGACAGCTAACCCGAAAGACCGACAGCTAACCCGAGAGACCGACAGCTCACCCCAGAGACCGACACCCGAGAGACCGACAGCTCACCCCAGAGACCGACAGCTAACCCGAGAGACCGACAGCTAACCCGAGAGACCTACAGCTAACCCCAGAGACCGACAGCTAACCCCAGAGACCGACAGCTAACCCCAGAGACCGACAGCTCACCCCAGAGACCGACAGCTAACCCGAGAGACCGACAGCTCACCCCAGAGACCGACAGCTAACCCGAGAGACCGACAGCTAACCCGAGAGACCGACAGCTAACCCGAGAGACCGACAGCTAACCCGAGAGACCGACAGCTAACCCGAGAGACCGACAGCTAACCCGAGAGACCGACAGCCAACCCCAGAGACCGACAGCCAACCCGAGAGACCGACAGCCAACCCGAGAGACCGACAGCCAACCCGAGAGACCGACAGCCAACCCGAGAGACCGACAGCCAACCCCAGAGACCGACAGCCAACCCCAGAGACCGACAGCCCACCCCAGAGACCGACAGCCCACCCCAGAGACCGACAGCTCACCCCAGAGACCGACAGCTCACCCCAGAGACCGACAGCTCACCCCAGAGACCGACAGCTCTGGGGTTTAGTCTATTATTATTAGTTTCCATACATGCCTTTTTATATTTCTAAATATTAAAGTTCCCAAGAGGGTATGACAGGCTAAAAGTTGTGATCGGGCCGGCCTAAGCAACAAGATTATTACCAATAAAACGCAGACAAAAAAAGAACATTAACAGTGAGCTATTTCCTTTGGTACAGCTCAGAAATGGTGGTCCTACCATCGTTGGAAGCCTCCCCTTACAATGGGTGGAAAGTCAGGCCTCAGTGCTGCTCCTCACCATGCTGCAGCGTTCTTCTTCCCAGTACGATCTTCACCGGCTGCTGCAGCTCCTCGCTGATGTTGACAAACTTCTCAAATCAAATGGTGAGATGTTCACGGCTGTCGCAACAGAAGTCTTTCGTAGCCTGAGTAACAAAGTACCTCATGCTTCCTGTTTTTACCTCATTGTCTCACAGTAAGAATATAAATGTTCAGTTTTTATCAAACTTATTCTCTCTGAATATGATCCATCTTTTATCAGGGTTCTTGTTTACTGTTGTGTCCCCTAAACATCTTAATGAGGACTTCCCTGTTAAGAGCAGCAGCGTGCATTCAGCTGTGGTGCAAAGACTGGTGATTTAATGTGGATTCAAAATGGATAATTATCAAAATAAAGACATGAAAACATCTATTAATTTGAAATCAAATGTGATTTACTTGGTAAATAGAGTTAGAAGAATAAATAAATTTGATTATTTATTTGAACAGTTTGAACAGGAGGAAGTATAAAGCCAGGTTTATGTCTGCTCTGCGATGGACCTTTAATAGAGCTGATTGGGTTCTCAGTGTGATCTTCTGTCTTGTTATTTTTGTGCAGGTCCAGACTTCAGGAAGCTGAGTAAGCTGAGTCAGTTGCTCCAAGGATCGGGGGTCACTCTGCCACAGAGGCTGCTGCACAGCACCCCCCCATCCATCCAGGAGGAGGAATTTGCAATCATTGTGGATACATTACAATCTAGAGGGTGCTACAGCCAGGCGAGACAGGTGGCAGAGCTGGCTGGTCTGCCTGTCGATCGCCTCCTCCTGAGCCAGGTCTGAATAATATTAAGAGATAGTGGGACCAACATGGTCACACAATGTCTGCTTCCTGTCAGAAGATCTGCTTTACTCTAACTACAGGTTGATTATTTTCTCATGTCTCTACCTGCTGCTGAGTGAATGATCTACCCACAATATTGTCTCTTTGTATATTTTCAGTCATGCAGGTCATTGCAAACACAAACAGGCTTTAATGTTCTTGTTGTTTCAAAGGTAGCTTTCCATTTGCTTTCTTCTCCACAGGCTAAATTCATTTTCATTCGTCCTTTCTGTCTGGTATATGTGGCAGAAGAAGGAGGTTTTAAGCAGCATCAAAAGTTTAAATCTGTGGATGCTGTGCATCAACCCACAACTTTGTGATTGAGTAGAATTCGGGTTTCACTTTAGAAGTATGCTTCTGTGATCCATATTATGGCTGGACAGTTTTTTATATTTGCAATTCAATCGCAATTAAAAAAAAAATATATAATCACATAGGCACTCAGTTTTGGTCCTATTACAATAGACATGAGTAAGATGCTGATTTTCTTCCTCCAGCCCCTAAAGTGGCACTAATATGCTAAAAGAGGGGCTGCCACACAAAACAGAAGAGAGAGTAGCAGCAGATCCTTATATTTAGGAAGTAGTGCTTCACTTGTCACAAAAATGACATTAAAGTCCAGGGACACAATCCTGGAATATCAGCTTTTTCTTGTTTTCTCTCTCTAGGCCCCTGTACCGTCTCTAGGCACCTGAACTGTCTCCAGGCCCCTGAACTGTCTCTAGGTCCCTGAACTGTCTCTAGGCCCCTGTACTGTCTCTAGGCCCCTGTACTGTCTCCAGGCCCCTGTACTGTCTCCAGGCCCCTGAACTGTCTCTAGGCCCCTGTACTGTCTCCAGGCCCCTGTACTGTCTCTAGGCCCCTAAACTGTCTCTAGGCCCCTGTACTGTCTCTAGGCCCCTGTACTGTCTCTAGGCCCCTGTACTGTCTCCAGGCCCCTGTACTGTCTCTAGGCCCCTGTACTGTCTCCAGGCCCCTGAACTGTCTCTAGGCCCCTGTACTGTCTCCAGGCCCCTGTACTGTCTCCAGGCCCCTGTACTGTCTCCAGGCCCCTAAACTGTCTCTAGGCCCCTGTACTGTCTCTAGGCCCCTGTACTGTCTCTAGGCCCCTGTACTGTCTCCAGGCCCCTGTACTGTCTCCAGGCCCCTGTACTGTCTCTAGGCCCCTGTACTGTCTCTAGGCCCCTAAACTGTCTCCAGGCCCTTGTACTGTCTCCAGGCCCCTGTACTGTCTCCAGGCCCCTGTACTGTCTCTAGGCCCCTGTACTGTCTCCAGGCCCCTGTACTGTCTCCAGGCCCCTGAACTGTCTCTAGGCCCCTGTACTGTCTCCAGGCCCCTGTACTGTCTCCAGGCCCCTGTACTGTCTCCAGGCCCCTAAACTGTCTCTAGGCCCCTGTACTGTCTCTAGGCCCCTGTACTGTCTCTAGGCCCCTGTACTGTCTCCAGGCCCCTGTACTGTCTCTAGGCCCCTGTACTGTCTCCAGGCCCCTGAACTGTCTCTAGGCCCCTGTACTGTCTCCAGGCCCCTGTACTGTCTCCAGGCCCCTGTACTGTCTCCAGGCCCCTAAACTGTCTCTAGGCCCCTGTACTGTCTCTAGGCCCCTGTACTGTCTCCAGGCCCCTGTACTGTCTCCAGGCCCCTGTACTGTCTCTAGGCCCCTGTACTGTCTCTAGGCCCCTAAACTGTCTCCAGGCCCTTGTACTGTCTCCAGGCCCCTGTACTGTCTCCAGGCCCCTGTACTGTCTCTAGGCCCCTGTACTGTCTCCAGGCCCCTGTACTGTCTCCAGGCCCCTGTACTGTCTCCAGGCCCCTGAACTGTCTCTAGGCCCCTGTACTGTCTCCAGGCCCCTGTACTGTCTCTAGGCCCCTAAACTGTCTCTAGGCCCCTGTACTGTCTCCAGGCCCCTGTACTGTCTCCAGGCCCCTGTACTGTCTCCAGGCCCCTGTACTGTCTCCAGGCCCCTGAACTGTCTCCAGGCCCCTGTACTGTCTCCAGGCCCCTGTACTGTCTCCAGGCCCCTGTACTGTCTCTAGGCCCCTGTACTGTCTCTAGGCCCCTGTACTGTCTCCAGGCCCCTGTACTGTCTCCAGGCCCCTGTACTGTCTCCAGGCCCCTGTACTGTCTCCAGGCCCCTGAACTGTCTCCAGGCCCCTGTACTGTCTCTAGGCCCCTGTACTGTCTCCAGGCCCCTGTACTGTCTCCAGGCCCCTGTACTGTCTCCAGGCCCCTGAACTGTCTCCAGGCCCCTGTACTGTCTCCAGGCCCCTGTACTGTCTCCAGGCCCCTGAACTGTCTCTAGGCCCCTGTACTGTCTCCAGGCCCCTGTACTGTCTCTAGGCCCCTAAACTGTCTCTAGGCCCCTGTACTGTCTCTAGGCCCCTGTACTGTCTCTAGGCCCCTGTACTGTCTCCAGGCCCCTGTACTGTCTCTAGGCCCCTGTACTGTCTCTAGGCCCCTGTACTGTCTCCAGGCCCCTGTACTGTCTCTAGGCCCCTGTACTGTCTCTAGGCCCCTAAACTGTCTCCAGGCCCTTGTACTGTCTCCAGGCCCCTGTACTGTCTCCAGGCCCCTGTACTGTCTCCAGGCCCCTGTACTGTCTCCAGGCCCCTGTACTGTCTCCAGGCCCCTGTACTGTCTCCAGGCCCCTGTACTGTCTCCAGGCCCCTGAACTGTCTCTAGGCCCCTGTACTGTCTCCAGGCCCCTGTACTGTCTCCAGGCCCCTGTACTGTCTCCAGGCCCCTGAACTGTCTCTAGGCCCCTGTACTGTCTCCAGGCCCCTGAACTGTCTCCAGGCCCCTGTACTGTCTCCAGGCCCCTGTACTGTCTCTAGGCCCCTAAACTGTCTCTAGGCCCCTGTACTGTCTCTAGGCCCCTGTACTGTCTCCAGGCCCCTGTACTGTCTCCAGGCCCCTGAACTGTCTCTAGGCCCCTGTACTGTCTCTAGGCCCCTGAACTGTCTCTAGGCCCCTGTACTGTCTCTAGGCCCCTGAACTGTCTCCAGACCCCTATACTGTCTCTAGGCCCCTGAACTGTCTCCAGGCCCCTGAACTGTCTCTAGGCCCCTGTACTGTCTCTAGGCCCCTGAACTGTCTCCAGACCCCTATACTGTCTCTAGGCCCCTGTACTGTCTCTAGGCCCCTGAACTGTCTCCAGGCCCCTGAACTGTCTCTAGGCCCCTAAACTGTCTCTAGGCCCCTGTACTGTCTCTAGGCCCCTGTACTGTCTCTAGGCCCCTGAACTGTCTCCAGGCCCCTGAACTGTCTCTAGGCCCCTAAACTGTCTCTAGGCCCCTGTACTGTCTCTAGGCCCCTGTACTGTCTCTAGGCCCCTGTACTGTCTCCAGGCCCCTGTACTGTCTCTAGGCCCCTGAACTGTCTCCAGGCCCCTGTACTGTCTCCAGGCCCCTGAACTGTCTCTAGGCCCCTAAACTGTCTATAGGCCCCTGTACTGTCTCTAGGCCCCTGTACTGTCTCTAGGCCCCTATACTGTCTCTAGGCCCCTATACTGTCTCCAGGCCCCTGTACTGTCTCCAGGCCCCTGTACTGTCTCCAGGCCCCTGAACTGTCTCTAGGCCCCTAAACTGTCTCTAGGCCCCTAAACTGTCTCTAGGCCCCTGTACTGTCTCTAGGCCCCTGTACTGTCTCTAGGCCCCTGAACTGTCTCTAGGCCCCTGTACTGTCTCTAGGCCCCTGAACTGTCTCTAGGCCCCTGTACTGTCTCTAGGCCCCTAAACTGTCTCTAGGCCCCTGTACTGTCTCTAGGCCCCTGTACTGTCTCTAGGCCCCTGAACTGTCTCCAGGCCCCTATACTGTCTCTAGGCCCCTGTACTGTCTCTAGGCCCCTGAACTGTCTCCAGGCCCCTGAACTGTCTCTAGGCCCCTAAACTGTCTCTAGGCCCCTGTACTGTCTCTAGGCCGCTGTACTGTCTCTAGGCCGCTGTACTGTCTCCAGGCCCCTGTACTGTCTCCAGGCCCCTGTACTGTCTCTAGGCCCCTAAACTGTCTCTAGGCCCCTGTACTGTCTCTAGGCCCCTGTACTGTCTCTAGGCCCCTGAACTGTCTCTAGGCCCCTGAACTGTCTCTAGGCCCCTGTACTGTCTCTAGGCCCCTGTACTGTCTCTAGGCCCCTGAACTGTCTCCAGGCCCCTGAACTGTCTCCAGGCCCCTGAACTGTCTCCAGGCCCCTAAACTGTCTCTAGGCCCCTGTACTGTCTCTAGGCCGCTGTACTGTCTCTAGGCCGCTGTACTGTCTCTAGGCCGCTGTACTGTCCCTTGGGTCCCTGTAATGTCTCTAGGCCCCTGTACTGTCTCCAGGCCCCTGTACTGTCTCCAGGCCCCTGTACTGTCTCTAGGCCCCTGTACTGTCTCTGGGCCCCTGTACTGTCTCTGGGGCCCTGTACTGTCTCTGGGGCCCTGTACTGTCTCTAGGACCCTGAACTGTCTCTGGGGCCCTGTACTCACTCGGGGCCCAGTAATGCAGTCCACCATTGAGTGGGACAGGGCAGTCCAGCTCAGTTAGGTCAGGCTTGTCCTTCAAAGGACAGTGTAACCATGAATGGACCCAGTTCTGACCCCAGAACCTAACCGGATCATGTTCTGTCTTCATCCCCTGCAGCTGCTTCAGGAAGCAAACGTCCACAAAACCAGGTGGCAGTGGAGACATTTGGAGACTCGGGTTGCCTTCTGGAGGAAGTGTCACAGGCTGCTTAAAGATGATGGTACCGATCCAAAGTTAGCCTCCCAGTTCTTTCTGTCCCAGTCTGAGGGAGGAACGGCCAACTCTGGAGACGAGACGCAAACCGAGGTTCTGGACGTTCAGGAGCGCTGTTTACTTCTCCAGCTCGCGGCTCACTGGCTTTCCTTGCTAATACCGGTTCCTGTGGACGAACTGGAGAGGTTGGAGAAGAAGCTGTGGTTCTGTCGGGTCCGGAAACACGTGCTTACAGCTACCATGGAGAAAGACAGCATGTTCAAGCTCCCACCAGCAGCCGTCCTCCCTGAAACCAACGCCTATGACATGTTCATGAAGGACTTCACCTTCTCCAGCATAGCAGATCTGAACACAGAGAAATACCTGAGACTGGATGGGTTCCCGAGTCTCTCAGAGAACCTGGATGAGTTAGATCCTGAGTCTGATCTGGGTTCTGAAGGGAGGAGAGTTTTAGGAGGACTTATTGGTCAGTTACTAGATCAGGGTGGTCTCCATGAGGCCAGTCGTGTTTGCCGACATTTCTCCATCCACAGTCCAGATGTGTGGAGGCTGCTGCGCTGCCATGCTTTGGCAGGTGGGGTTTTAGCACCAGAACCGCAGGAGGAAACCCCAGAAGGAGCAGAAACCAAACCGCTGACACACTGTAGGTTTCCTCTGACATCTTCTAATAACCTGTCCTCCACTGCTTCTCTAAGTCTTCTCTTTCTCTACCTCCAGCTCCCTCGCTCAGCAGTCTGTCCTCCTTTGTGATGGTGCCCCTCCCTGAAGATGCAGTCACCATCCAGATCCAGAGGCTGCTGGATCAGTGTCGCCATGGAAGCAGCTACTGCAAACAGATCCTCAGCCTGTACCAGCTCTCTAAGGTCTGTGGTGTGTGAATGCAGATCCCTTTCCAGCAGCTGGTCAGGCCTGCTGACCAGCTGCTGGAGGCTGTAGTAGTTAAATAACTGCTTCTACAGTTTGGTTCATTCAAGCTGTCTGTTCCTGTTCTCCTCATCAGGAGATGCAGTGCCCTTACAGTCAGCTCAGCAGGGAGGAGCCTCAGTCTGTGCTGCAGAAGCTCCTGCTTCTGGAGCAGCCGGACCGTTTCAGGATGGCCAAGGCCTTCATCAGAGCTCAGGGTCTGGGTGCTGATGCTGTGGCAGAGCTGGTCTCTGATGCTGTGCTTCAAGGCCTGCTGGCTTCAGCCCAGGACCTGCAGCCTGGTGAGAGCCAAGATGGTTTCTACACTAGATGCTTCTTGTTCCTTTGCCTGTTTCTCAGTTGGATCTGCTTGTCTGAACCAGGAGACAAGCAGATTTTTAGACCGTCCGAGGGGAATGAGTCTCTGGTACAGCTGATCAAACTGTGTGACGATCCAAACTTGGTGGGACTCAGACTGCTGGAAAACCTCAACACGGTTCCGCTGAGGGAGCTGAACTCCAGTATGAAGAACTGAACCCACTCAGTACCATCGTGTTTGATCACAGCAGTCTCTTCCGTGTGCGTCACTGAACCACTTCTTGTCTTGTTTCCCTCTCTGGTGTTTAGTCGTGGAGCTGCTGATTGTGGCTCACAGCTGTTTCAGTCTTACCTGTAACATGGAGGGGATCGTGCGTGTTCTCCAAGCTGCTCATCATCTAAGCCACACCTACCTGGCCCCAGGAGAACACTACAGCCTGATGGTGAGTGCACATACATCACTAAATGTCCCTCAGAGCTTTTCCTCTCACTAATGTTGAACTAAATATCAACAGGAAGTAAAGATCTGTTGGATGGGTTGCCTCTGTTTTAATATTTATGGTCTGGAAACTGTTGTTGATTTAGAAGCAGACAGCAAAGGGGGGAGTGGTGGCTTAGTGGTTAGAACACTGTGCATGACTCCCTGGAGGTTCTGAGTTTCAAACCATCTCCATTTTGAAGCAGTGATTTAGGAGCCATTCATTCTACTGTGTGCAGAATCTATAGTTCCTCTTCTATCGTGGTGGGAGTCTAGGAAGCGACTGCTAAATGGGTACTTGTTGATGGCATTAAGATTATTTCTAAGAGCATTACAACAGCATTTAAAAGCATTAGAGTTACTCATTCCTGTATAAACCCTGTACTGTAGTGCGAAAATAAGAAAGGCACCATTTTGAGAATTAGAAGCAGTGCCTATGAAGAAAAGTTTCTTATAGTGTTTAATAGCTATTTTAGGAATACTTAGGTTAGGTTACTATGTTAGGAAAGATAACGGTAAACTAGCTCCAAAGGTGGTTCTGTCTGGTAAAGAAACTGTTAAGCAGATGAGCTCTGAGCCAGTATTCATGTCAAGGGGATGAAAGAGAGCACATCCAGTTAGTCAGAGTAAATCTGAACCCATAGCTATGTCTAGGAGAGAAACAGGACTAAACCATGAAAAACAGACCCAGCTGTATTATCTATAATTCAGAAGCTAGTTAGGTCATCCAGGTTTTTAAGGCCGGCGTCTATTTAATGGGTTAGTCTCATCTAGATTTATAGACTGATACAGCCGAGTGTCATCAGCATATCTGTGGAAATAAGGGTGGAAGTATTTGGTTCTGAAATAATAAAAACGACCTGCTTTGGTGGGTCTGTAAGCCACACCCCCACCAAAGCAACCCCCAGCCCTATCCCCGCCCTATCCCTAAGGTAACCTCGTATAGATGTTGCTGGAAAGGAGAATTTGCTCCTAAACAGTGGTTTCCTTCAGTCATTTAGGAACTAAAGGTGATATGATGTGAGGAGCGTCATTAGAGTAGAGCTGCAGGTGAACCACCTGGATAAAGTCCCTGCACGTAGCTCTTGGTGTGTTTTCAAATGTCAAAACTGTTCCCATCTAATGAAAATATATTTTTGTTCCTCTTGGTGAAGAGGGGAAATGGACACAACCTTCTGAGGTGTTTGTTTGTGTGCAGGTGCGTCTACTGACCGGTATTGGCAGGTACAATGAGATGACGTACATCTTTGACTTGCTCCATCAGAGCCATCGCTTTGAGATGTTACTCAGGAAGAAGGTGGAAACAGAGAGGGGACAGGTTTGGCTCTAACTCTCCAAACGTTTAAATTTCACCAGTAACTAAAGTCAGAAATGCACATATTTGTCCTTTCTTTTTAATTTGCACCTTTAATGTGGAGGATTTTAGTTAATTTTCTACCAACATAAAGAAAGCTTGTTTTCTAACCAGACATCAGCTCCATTGATCATTTATTCCTTCTGTTTGCAGAGCTCTAGTTTGAAGACTGCTCTGCTGGATTACATCAAGCGCTGCCTCCCTGCTGATAGCGAGAAGCACAACATGGTGGCGCTGTGTTTCAGCATGAGGAGGGAGATCGGAGAAAACCATGAAATTGCTGCCCGGACTCAGCTGAAGATGATTGAATCTCAGGACTGGGGTGAGCCGGAAAACACAGTCTCCGTTCTGTCGGAAACGACCTGCTCCTTTGATTGCAGACTGAGATTTTCTCTTGGTGAATTTTTTTAAACAGTTGTGACTCCTGAACTGAAGAGTTCGCTGATGAAGGTGTTGGGTCTGCTAAAGGATGCTGCAGAAAGTTTCTCAAAGGTACTTGATACAAATGTGAAGGATCAAGGGGGGTCTATGCCCAACTCCACTACTTCCTGACATTCAGCCAGCTCCTTTATTTCCTGTGTTTCATCACTGATCAATTCCAGTGACCTCAGTTACCATGAAGACAGTGGTCAGCAGTGTTGGGCACGTTACTTTGAAAAAGTAATTAGTTATAGTTACTAGTTACTTCTTCCAAAAAGTAACTGAGTTAGTAACTGAGTTACTCCACAATAAAAGTAACTAGTTACTAGTAAAAGTAACTATTGCGTTACTTTTGCGTTTCTCGCCCCCCGTAACCCTCACCGCCCAGCCCCCACCTTCTCGCCATGTTTCAAAAGCCAGCTGAATAGAGCGGACGACAAAGACAAGTACCTGCAGAGAGTTTTGCATTTATTGCAACTCAACGTAAAAGACATCAGGGGGGAACGCTATCTGATGGGCTTCTAAACCCATCAGATAGCGTTCCCCTTGCTTAACATGGGGTTTAGGTATCTGATGTGGTGTCATCAGGCTGCATTACCTCTACTCATGGGTGTGAAGTTTTTTAACAGGGCGTTCAGATCTGGTGAGTGTATGAAATTAATAACTGGGGATGTCTAATTCTGAAATCCTGTGTGTTTGGGTTGTTATAGATACTGCAACATCTATCTATCTATCCATCCATCCATCCATCCATCCATCCATCCACTGTATCTATCTATCTATCCATCCATCCATCCATCCATCCATCCATCCATCCATCCATCCACTGTATCTATCTATCTATCCATCCATCCATCCATCCATCCATCCATCCATCCATCCATCCACTGTATCCATCCATCCATCCATCCATCCATCCATCCATCCATCCACTGTATCCATCCATCCATCCATCCATCCATCCATCCATCCATCCATCCATCCATCCATCCATCCATCCATCCATCCATCCATCCATCCATCCATCCATCCATCCATCCATCCATCCATCCATCCATCCATCCATCCATCCATCCATCCATCTATCTATCTATCTATCTATCTATCTATCTATCTATCTATCTATCTATCTATCTATCTATCTATCTATCTATCTATCTATCTATCTATCTATCTATCTATCTATCTATCTATCTATCTATCTATCTATCTATCTATCTATCTATCTATCTATCTATCTATCTATCCATCCATCCATTCCATCCACTGTATCTATCTATCCATCCATCCATTCCATCCACTGTATCTATCTATCCATCCATCCATTCCATCCACTGTATCTATCTATCCATCCATCCATTCCATCCACTGTATCTATCTATCCATCCATCCATCCATCCATCCATCCATCCACTGTATCTATCTATCCATCCATCCATCCACTGTATCTATCTAGTTCCCCTGTGGCGCAAGCACAGGGCGGCTGTTACACGCCTTTAGCGAGCATGCGCGTTTCCTGTCGCTTGCGCGGTGAATCGTGCCGCCTGCGCTAAGTGGAAATGCAGGGGAAACCGTATCTGATGGGGAAATGCAGCTCGGCGTAACACCGGTATTTCCATCAGGAAAACGCTGTTTTGCTGCTGGAGTCCTCCTCACTCTCCGTCTCTCTGTGTGTGCTGTACGTTAACACCCATAACAGCCAATCTCATCCTCCCTTCTCGAAGGACAAGGCGCGCACGAGTCCTATCATGAAAAAAAGGTGCGACCTGAGTAACGCGCAGTAACGGGGTGTCAGCAATGGTAACTGCGTTATAGTTACAGTCAAAGTAATTAGTTAGATTACTCATTACTAAAAAAAGGTAACGCGTTAGTAACGCCGTTACTTTCAACGCCGTTAGTCCCATCACTGCTGGTCAGACACCTGGATGAATCCGTCTGTCCAGTAATGAAAGACAGGAAATAAAGGAGCCGGTGTAGGTACCAGCTGCTTGGGGCCCTGCCCCTTCTTATGACGTCAACATATGGCAACTCCACTTGGACAAACTGTATTGCACCCGTTTCTTAAGGATCAAATGTCTTTTGGAGTCTCAACATATTATTACCTATATTTGTTTTATTTTACATTCACAATCATGGTAAGTCTTTAAAGGAAAGCATTGCGTTCTGAGACTGAGCTCTGCTATTAAACAAGGTGACCCAAAAAAATCGTAGCTTATTTTTATTCTTTTTATTAAGATCTGAGGGCAGGGGAGGACAAATGGGAAATCTTAAAAAATGACCATCATAGAGATTTTAGACAAATTAAACAGTTATTCTACTTTTGAAAACGAACGGTTGTTGTTGATACGAATTTAAAAGTAGTGTAGCTTAATTTGTCTAATTGACCTAGCTAAAAGAGGCTAACCTGTTAGCTACTGAGCACAGCTAGCCACAGCGCTACCCAGATCTCCCCTTTATATCATGGTCTTGCAGTTACTTTGTTCACTATAAACTGATTATTTTCAGTTTTGTTATCGATCAGGTAAAACTTCATCGGTCACTAGACATGCTAACACTACAGAGGCTCCCAACTCTGCACACTGATGCTGCGTGATGTCATTATTGTTGTCTGGGCAACCACAATGTTTTACATCATGTGGGAACATTCAGCCAATCGTGTAGTGTAACGTCACTGGCATGCGCAGGGCCCGAGTACATCCGACCGACCGAGCAGATCTGGTCCCTACACCGGCAGAAGATCAGGAAATAGGGGGGTTGAGGATATAGTCTGTGTGTGGAGTTGTTTTTATTACCTTGTGGGGACAGTTTTAGGAGAGTTTTGTTAAATTTGCTGCATTGTGAGATCTTATCGGTACTTATGGGACTACAACTGGTGCCCATGATGAGGAAGTTTCTTCTTGGGTTTGGGTCAGGTTTAGGTATATGATGGTAATGGTTAGAGAAATGAATGGAAGTTGTCTGTATCTGTGTGTTCCTACCAGGACTCCTGCGTTCGTCAGGCGAGTCGCTGCATCAATCAAGCCAAACTGATCACTCTTCAGCTCCACTTGTTGAACCAGGGATCAAACCTTCGCATCATCAACCTGAAGCCCACAGAGCTGCACGCTGCCTTCATGGCTCTGCCCCGATGTTACCAGGTGAGGATCAGTTGCAGTCAGTTCTGCTCTGACTGCAACTAAGGTCCATCTGGATCGGTTCTGAAAGCAGCCTCTAATTGAAGAATAAGGTATTTTTATCCCAGGGTTTTACCTCAGATAAAAATAAAGTAAACGTGAGATCAAAAGATTCAGGTGTACGAAAAATCAGAAAGTCAGATGAATCGATTATTGAAATAATGATCATCTAATTTAGTAATCTATTAATTGTTAACTGTAGTATAGAGACTCTAAAACAAGCCTTTATCTGACAGAGCAACCCACTTTCAGCAGTTTGCATTTAAGATAAAAAAAAAACCTTTTTCATCTGTCAATAGGCTCTATTCAGATCTCAACGGGCAAAGTTTGACGTGGTTTAATTGCGTAAAAAGTCTTCTTTAAGGAACCTTTTGCTATTCAACTATTAATAGATTATTCGAAATAATAAGTGACAGAATTATTGATTTGCAAAATAATCGTTAGTTGCAGTCTGAATTTCTACCTTATTAAATGAAAAACATGTTCTATTCGATAGTTTGCGAACACGCTCCCTCACCACTAAAATCACAGGCAACGTCAAAACTGACCCACATCACCAGCCTTCTACCTCCGTACCAGGAAGTTAGCGTGTAGACCCTCTCTAAGATGAGATGCAGTCTTTAATGTTTCATCCCCTTTTTCTGTGTAAAGAAGAAACATTGTAGATGACTTGAATGCTTCTAGAAATCTGCCAAAATATCGGCACATCCAAAATAAACAGAATAAAGCCCATCATAAAACCGGGTAGAGTTTGAATCTTTTTTTTTGTTCTGTTTGAAATGAGAACCAAAAACTGTTAACTTTGTTGTTCAGGATTCATGCCTGAGAATAAAGTAGCAATTATCTCATTATCATTTATTGTTTTATTAGCTGTTTCTCGTCGATTGTGTCCCTGTTCCTGTTTTACAGTCACTCCTTCTCTGTGTCTCAGGTGATTGTCGTCTCAGAGGCCTACAGCTACAATCCAGACTGGGCTGAGATTTTGTACCAGAAGGTGGTTCTGAAAGGAGACTTTGTTTACCTGGAGGAGCTCAAAGGCCTCCGTCCTCTTACCTCCGCCATATTTGAAGACATTTTCAGAAAGTAAGGAATAACTTTTTTACCTTCCAGCCTTAGAAAGTCTGAAGGGTTTGTCCCGTTAAAAATGCGTGTGTCATTCTAGGCTGGACAGCTCCCCCAGCGGTGTCTCCTCGAACGTGAAGCGTCTGCTGACTCACTGTGACGATGTGTACACCCGATACAGACTGGCCTACCAGCAGAATCTCTATGATGTCACCAAAACGCTGCTGCAAGATAACAAAACGGCCAGCTACATGAATGACAGGCTGAGCAATAAAGCGTTTATCTGAGCCAGCAGCCTGATGGATTCATGTCTGTATGGACCTTTATACCTCCAATGGTCTCTGAGCTTTACTTAAATGATGTCAGTTAACAGCAGGTCTTTATGTTTCATTCACTACAGGAAAACCTCATCTTCTTTGACCTTTTCAGTGGTATTAATTTCCTCTTTCAAAACAAACATCTTTAAATAACACAGCCATATGAAAGATTTAAAAATAACTAAACGTGTATGAACCAATATTTTTAGATCAATAATTTATCATGATTTATGCTTCTGTTTTGTAATTCTGAAAACTAAATTATATTTGTGGAAATAAAAAAAATTGTTGTGCATAGTTTTTTTTTTTTGTTTGTTTTCTTTACAATTACTAAGATTTTTCAATGACTATTCTAGGCTCATAGTAACTAAAATGAAGGATCAAGGCCTTATGAAATATCATCTGTCTTTAAAATAGTTTTTTATACTGAGTAATCAAATACACCAATTTATTTACATCTAAAAGGCTTTAATCAAAGAGAGTAAACTGTTATTTAAAGATACTTAGAAATATGTGTAAACTATGGTATTTAGTTTTTGTGTAGATAAAATTAAATTTCTATGAATGAGGAGTTTCTTTACTTTTTATTGGTTTTTAATTTTAAAAATTATAATTATGATTTTATAATTATAAATTAAAATGAGGACCCAAACAAAAATTTTGCAAATATCAAGGAAATAGTAAAAGGGTACAGGAGGGTGGTTGGAAACAATCATGTACAAAGATATGACAGAAATTTATAATTATTATGATAGATCAATCACAAGTTATGTCTGGTCTGGTCTAATGGTTTAAACAAATGTAATCCACTTTTTCCACATTTCAATAAATTTCTCTTTTTGTTTTAGGTCATTATTTCCATTGCAAAGCTGCTCTATCAATGTATCTACACTAGAGGCCTCCTCTTTCTTTAATGATGTCTTGCATGCCACCAGTCATATTCTTAGTTTATCTTTCTTTCTCTGCTCCAGTTCCACTAGATCCACCAAATAAAGCAATTTTAAAACAGAAATTTATTTTTTGATGAAAACACAGCCTCTTAGTTTATCTAATATGCAACCAAAATGGGCTCCCTATAGGGCAGCACCAGACAACAGCGAGACACCTCTTTGCTTCCACAAAACTCCTGACAATGTCTTGCTGGAATATAATCTGTGTTGGTGTGGAGTGCAGAAATAACAGATTGGGATTATTCCACGAGTCCTCTCTCCAGAGTGGTGAATTTGTGGATCAGTCTTTTAGATGGATTATGTTGCCTTCTTTTTCCATTCTTGTTTTTACATTAAATCTATTTCCTTTATCAAGAGATTGAACATGTCTGTATATTTTTATTATGAAGGCTCACCTTTATAAGCTTTTACAAATACCTGTAGAATTTCATTCACATTCCTTTTTTTTCTGATGTATTTTGTAGATACATGAAGAATTCCTGGTTTGGTAAACCAGATTGATCCTTGAGGTATTAAGACACTTCTAACCGTGCTTTTTATTCAGTATGTCATGTCTGTGGTTGTATTGATGAGGTGTAAACTGGAGGGGGCGGGGCTATACCCAAAACATTTCAAGTCTATATCGGTCAAAAGTTTTAACGAGTTATTGACCCATGGATGATCTTGATCAGAGAGGTGTTTAATAACGGATTTTGAATAAGTGCCATGATTGGAAGTTAATTTCCCATTATTTGGTCATTGTTTCCATCTGGCCTTAAAGCTATCCCTACACTAGGCTATTAAAGGTCTAAGTTCAGCTGCCTTGTAGTAGTTTTCAGAATAGGAAGAGTTAATCATGTTTCTTTTGATAGAAGGAGAACTTTAGATTGTATCCTGAGGGTTTTTTGCCGCCCATATGTCTCCGAAAACTAATCTGTCCCCAACTTGAACCAGTTTTTTTGGTGTTTCTAAGGAAAATTACTGGAAAAGTTCCTTAAACACCTTAGAATATTCATCCTGATAGATTTGATACCTGAGCTAATGTTTAGCTATAATATCAGGTTCCAACTGTGAATATCTCCCTTAATAACTGGTTTATAATTGATTTCTGCTATGACGGACATGTTAGGATATGAATACATAAGTATTTATGGATTTCTCATCCTGGTTTAGCCGGTATTTATGGCGAAGATCAATAAGAGGGTTGTCGTCAAAATAAAAAATATAGGCTTTTTTTCATTAAATGTGTATCCTGAAAAGGAGCCATAGGCATGTTATTAATGCTGGTAAGGTTCACGCTAGGTCACTTGGGTACATTAAAACTTCATCTGCAAAAGGTTTCAGGTTGTCTACCATTTTTGTCACTTAATAGTTTCATTCTCTTTTTTCTGCTATTCTCAATAAAAACAGTAAAGACAATAGAACTCAGTGGGCATCATTGTCTTGATGTTTAAATATGAATAGTTCTGAGGCTTCTCCATTAATCCTTAGCTGTGTTGATTCCTTTAATGGTTACTGTTATTTGAGTTGCATGAAGCTGACACCACCCATTCATTAATTCACCCATGTGAAAAAAACTACAGACTGAATGACTAGTGCTTCATTAGTGCAGATCAATTTATCATGTGTAAAAAGAGAAAAAAAATGATTTGCCGTTTTTATTTCAGAGAAGAAAAGATGATTATATAGGCTATCGAGATGCCATCAACCAAACTGATGACGGTGTTGCTTTTAAGCTTTTAAGTTTGCAAAAGTCATCCTACCTCTGATGTTAGTGCTGCACTAATTTCCCAATAAGAAGTTATCGCATAATATGGCCTAAAATGTAACAGTGGGTCTGTTTACCTTATTTAGGTGTTGTAATGATTGTTTCACAATATTTAGTAGTTTATCAGACTCTGAGATCCTGCTGTTTCCTGTCAGGCCTTGTTGTTGGAACTTCAAAATAAAAGCGTAGGTGAAAACAGACTGCTGCTAAATTGTTCTCTACCCACAACATTGAATTGGCTTGGGGAGACCATCAAAAAGCCCCACAGGAACTGAAAAAGTGGACCACTTCATCCAGAGAGACATCAGGCTGGCACCTTTATAGTCAAATCTGCATGGCCTGGGCAGAATATATTTAAGAACATGACTTAAATAAACAACAAAAATCATATCTTAGCTTGTTTATTTTGTTAAAGTCTTAGATATAGGTTCATGTTTTTCGGGTAACAGCCCCAGGAAGTCTCCCCACAGTGAGAAAGCTGGGAAAGTGCTATATTGTTAGAAGTCCAGAAATAATAAATATAGAGTCTATCCATCATCCTTTCTGCGGGAGTCTTTGTCTTTCACGAGCTGGTTGAGGATGCTGTTCTGTTTTAGCGCTCTTAGGTTGGATATGTCCTCTGCTATCACTGGTATGTCCTCGCTTTGACACGTCTCGTCCCCTTCATCTTCAGACAGCGTACACAGGAGGGCATCGTTCTCATATGTTGGGAAATAATATCTGCAGATCAGAGATTTGGATTAGAGCAAAGCTTCACCTGAGACTGAACCCCACTACAATGTTTAACAATCTTTAGGGGTAAAAGCTATATGTTTATGTCGCTGGTTCTAGATAAAGACAACTCCCTGCTGAATTTAGCATCTCAAAGACAAGTGGACTCACTGTGGCTGGTCCCAGGTAGACATCTGCGGCAGTTTCATCACATGACCCTCAGATATGATGTGGTCCAACATGTCTGCTCTGGAGTCAAAGTTCTCCTGGCAGCCATAGCAACGGCTCTGGTGGATCTGCCGCCGGATGAAATTGACCAGCTTAACTTGCTGGTAAAACTTAAGGTCTAAAACGAGGGAACAGGACAGAGTTTAGTCATTAGCAAACCGATAAACCCACATTTACCAACTCTGTAGCTCTAAACCAGGAGAGAGAGAGAGAAAGAGAGGAAAGAAAGAAAGAAAGAGAAAGAGAGAGAGGAAAGAAAGAAAGAACGAAAGAGAAAGAGAGAAAGGAAGGAAAGAAAGAGAGAGAGAGAGAGAGAGAGAGAGAGAGAGAGAGAGAGAGAGAGAGAGAGAGAGAGAGGAAGGAAGGAAGGAAGGAAGGAAGGAAGGAAGGAAGGAAGGAAGGAAGGAAGGAAGGAAGGAAGGAAGGAAGGAAGGAAGGAAGGAAGGAAGGAAGGAAGGAAGGAAGGAATTTGACTCACTTTTCTCTGTCTTTAGTTCCTGAAGGTTGAAGCCGTGTGAATCCTATTAAAGCAACAGAACAGATTCTGGTTTTTCAGTCTGCAGGAAATAAAAACTACTCAACAAAGGAAGTTGCTGTCTATGATTTAGCACAGTTCACCTTCATGTGTTTATAAATCTGCTCCATGGTTTCTGACTGATGATCACAGAAGAGACAAACAGCAGAGACAGGATGGGCTCTCCAGTCCGACCAGTCACTGTGGATGGCACATAGAAGTCAGTCAGAGGGAGTGGACACATTTCACAAAGAACTGCTCTGAAGGACGGGAATAAATCAACCTGCAGCTGACAGGTTGAGGACACTTACTCATCCTCACCGTCCACCAGCTCCCGGTCATCTTCACTCTGCACCTCCTCCCAAGTTTTTCCCAGTTCCTTTCAGGAGAACACAGCAATGAGAAAAAGTTTCCTCCAATGCTCTCTACTGTTTATTAGCAGCTGAATTCAAGACAAGATGGCAGGGAGAGGAGGGAGAAGAGAAAACATTTGGCTTTGACCAAACCTTAACGTTTATACTGGGGACCCAATTTAAAGTTTCTTTGAACAAATACGTTTTGATTTTCTTAAACATGTAACAGGCCATTAAATGTTGGCTCGATTATTCTTTCCACTGAATGTTATTTTATTTACCAGGTAGTTGATGACATAGAAGCGGTCGTATTCGTGGTTGTTGGCATTGATGCGACGGTGAGCTTTTTTCCTCATGTGATCCTTCAGTGTCGTTTTATCTCTGAATATTTTTTCACAGTACAAACACTGCAGGCTGGCAGGAAAGGAACCAGATCATCTTAGCAACAAAAAAACGTTTCAGGCAACACAGAGAAGGAAGTATTTTTTGAAAGCAGTCGAACTTAAAGGAGAAGTTCGGTTTTTAACACTTTTAGCCCATTTTCTGTAGTGTCCAGGATGAAATCGAATGATCGACACCAAAATTTTGACAATTGGTCCTGTCTCTGCTTTTTGGCTCATTTAGAATCAACCCCTGGCTGCTTTAGAATGGCTTCCATAGTGCATGTCCGATAATGTCCTTAAAACAACCTTAAACGTTCTTTTTTTTAAAATATGCTACTCACCGGGTCGTCAGCGCTGTTCAATGACGTTCCAAAAAAAGTTTCGTGAAGAAAAAACGTTCCTGTAGTGTTTTATTTAGCATTTTGTAAATCCCATTGAGTTCTGTAGGAATAGTCAATATTCCCCTGCCACCGGAAACGGAAATGGGGCCTGTTTACACAGTTGTAGTCTTTTCGCTTCACTCTGTGTACTCCGACGTCGAGGTGCTAACGTCTCCGTTAAACACTTTAAAAAACTCTGAAAATGGAATACGAAAGGTGGATTCTTGATTCTCGACGTCGGAGTACACAGAGTGAAGCGAAAAGACTACAACTGTGTAAACAGGCCCCATTTCCGTTTCCGGTGGCAGCGGAATATTGACTATTCCTACAGAACTCAATGGGATTTACAAAATGCTAAATAAAACACTACAGGAACGTTTTTTCTTCACGAAACTTTTTTTGGAACGTCATTGAACAGCGCTGACGACCCGGTGAGTAGCATATTTTAAAAAAAAGAACGTTTAAGGTTGTTTTAAGGACATTATCGGACATGCTCTATGGAAGCCATTCTGAAGCAGCCAGGGGTGGATTCTAAATTAGCCAAAAAGCAGAGACAGGACCAATTTTCAAAATTTTGGTGTCGATCATTCGATTTCATCCTGGACACTACAGAAAATGGGCTAAAAGTGTTAAAAACCGAACTTCTCCTTTAACTGATCTAAAATGTGACACAGATGTAACAGCAGTAAGGTTTCACATGTATAAACACTGGGAAAATCTCTATCATTGCAGGAACGCAAAACTAAAAACTGATTCTTAAATCTTTGTAGTAGAATATTGATCTTGTAACATCGCAATTTATTTGTGGTCATAAGTTTGAGAACAGAGAAGCAGTCACAAAGGCAGGCAGGGGGATTATATGTCTTTTAAAACTGCTAAGGATAATGAGGTAGAGCGTACAGATTGTCACATTTCAGTGTAGCTGTGACAGTTTAACATCTTTTAATCTGTGCCACAACGTGGAGCTAATGTTCTACCCGGCAGAGATATGCTGGTGACGATTCTCAGTCATCCAGGTCATAGTCGTTCCAAAAAAGTAAAAAAAAAAAACAGTTTCCAAGTTTGAAGAGGACGCTTTTTTCAACTCTAAATGTCCGAATTAGGGAGTCATCTGGCTAACAAAAAAGCCAAACGACCCGTTCTTCAGGTGCAATTTGCATATTTTCTAAACCAAAACAAAGCTTCGTTTTGGTCCACTCTAAAAAGCCTCGAACTCAATGCTGACATTTTGAATTGAAAAACATTCTGAATAGGAAGCAAATTGCTTCAAACTTGGAAAATAATTCCATTGGATTGTTCAGAAATGTTTTTTTTTACTAAAATAGTAGCTGGATTTTTCTCTCTAACTCTATGCTGGTTTGACATTGAAATTAAGCAATTAAATTCAAACTTCTTACGTTGTTCTTGGGGGAAATGATGTCAACTGTGAGAGAGACTGTCAGCTGTGATCAGGCTGAGTTAGATGGGTTTACTTTCTCTGTTCTGCCTTTTTTTTTTAAAACAGGACAAAGAAATCTGGAATCAATGGGAGGATGATGGCGTCCCTAGAGCCGTGGCATATCATGTGTTTACATCGGCTGCCGCCATGTTGTTTTCAGTTATCATGTGTTTCTGCTGTTTTTCCAGAGGACCCAGAGCTACCAGGGTGCTGGTTCTTACCTGTCCAGTTTGTGTTGCAGTGTGTCCAGGAACTCATTGCAGTACACGATGTTGTCTGGCAGCCCGATGCTGAACGAGTGATCCCTGGCCATGTGGTTCAGCAGCGACGCCCTGGAAACAAGATTCATCCTCTGTGATACTGTCTAGATCACAGGTGTCAAACTAGTTCCAAAAAGGGCCTTTCTGACCGTATCCAGAAAGGTGAGTCTAGTCTTAACCTGATGACTTGATGGGATGAATGGAGTCTGGTGAGCTACTGCTTGGGTGGAAAGAAAAACAGCAGCCACACGGCCCTTTCTGGAACAACTTTAACACCCCTGGTCTAGATGAATAAGATCTAAGCTGTGATTTCAGGCCTCGGATGTTCTGACCTGTTTCCAGTGAACTCCTCGCTGCAGAATAAGCAGAGGCGGTGGAAGTGGCAGTCGTCTCGCTCTTTCTGCTGTTGCTCCAGCACCTCCTCCTGTCATAAACCAGAGCTCATTTTAAAGAGAACAAACACTGAGATGGAATTTCCCAACTAAAAAACATATTTCTGTGAAAACTGAAAAAAGAAAACATCAGATGATTGAAGGGTAGAGGTAAAACGCAATGATTTAAAACAGATTAACTGTTTGCACATTTTACAAGGAGTCCTTATTAATGAGCATCCTCTCCTTCAGTCAGAGGCTTCGTGCAACTGCTGTTAGACAGACCTCTACAGGGGATCCTTCCTGCCCATCAGGAAGGCACATAATGGAGGACTGCATCTTGTAGATGGTCAGCAAAGGCCTAAAGCCAAGAAGCTTTGGTGTCTATTAAACAGCCTGTGGGAGTGACTGGATTGACCAGACCTTAAACTGCAAACTACCAGCTTAGCTGCTCACAGGAAGCCATAGGCGCCATTTAGCAGAGCTAAATAATCCAGGTCCAAAAAGGAAAAAACCTGCACAGAGATCAGTTCCAACCATTTATATTTCCATCTCCACAGTGCAGACTAGGGGTCATTCACCTGGGAAAGTGAACAGGAGGAAGGAAAACTAGGGTTTGTACCCTCTAGACCAGGATTATCCACCTCTGCTGTTTACCAGAACTACATTTGCACTTTAAGAAAGTGTCAGATTTACTGTCCTCACCAGCCGTTGTTGTTGGAGTTTCTCTCGTAGTACTCGGTCTTCCGGGAGGACGTCACACAGCAGGAAGTAGTCCTCCTGTTTGTCTGCAGGTGAATAACTACTCATTAGTAGAGAAGCTGTGTCAGGGAGCACTGTGGCTCCTGTAAATGCTGGGGACTGGGCTACTCTGTAGGAATCACAGCTACTGCTCTCCGTCAGACTCACCAACTGGGCCTGTAGAGTTGGTCTTTATCACGCTGCAGAAATCAGTGACTGGCTGTTCCAGAAAGCGGCCCTTCCAGTAAACCAGGTACCTGATGGAACAAATGCGGTACCAGCACCGTTAATGGCCGCCACCAGCCAAACTATCAAATGTTTAGCGGCCGCCATCAATAAGACCAACCTTGGGAGGTTGGCGATCAGCCTGACATCAGCAATGACCAGCTTGTGGTCCAGCAGCAGGTGTCTGAAGAGGACGTCTTTCTGCAGCAGAGGGACAGAGTCTGAGCAGAAGAGGCAAACCAGCAGCTCGTCACTGGGATGCTGCAGCAGACTGGGAGAACTGGTACCTCCAGCTGCCAGTTCTGGAAAACTCAGAGGCTCCAGGATGCTGTCTCCACCTGCAGGAAACATGAATTAGCTGATCAATAAGAACAATTCATGTCACTCCAGAGAAAGGAAATGGGTGGAGGACAGGAGGGTTCAGTTTGACCCGCCGCCTCAGAGGTTCTGCTGCATCACCTTCAGTTGGTTCAGAATTCAGCAGCTGGTTTAATCACAAAAACCTTCTCACTTCAGCAGCAGCTGTCAAGAGGCCCTTCCCTGTTGGAAAAAAGCCCCCTCTAACCTGTACTGGATGCAGGGTCCAAGTCTGAATTTATTGGTTAGTATTTCATAAATAAAGTTTTTAGCACTTGTAGCAGTACTAGGTATCCCCAAGAACTAAATAATCAGAAATCTTGTATTGGGACATCCCTAATTATTATGTGTAACCCTCTTTATAGTTGCCCTTTAACCAAGTTATCCTGCCACCAACCTGGTTAGTTTGGCTGTTAGATCCTAAATCAGGGGTCTTCAAAGTTTTCCAGGCCAAGGACCCCCAAACTAATGGTGAGATGGAGCAGGGACCCCCTAATTATATATATTGTATGAAGTTGTGTTATATCAAACTGGTCCTATAGTCACTCTATTACAGATGGAGTAATGTAATGAAAGTAATTTCTCTCTTGGATTATTGAAGTATTTCTGATTCTGATTCCTGATTAATGGAACAGGTGTTGTGAATGAAACGGTGCCCAGCTTGAAAGAGCTGTTGTGTGTCGCTGAATGTGTGCATTGATGACTGAAAGACATCTTCTGCCTCCATTTATCTGTTTACTTCAGTGTGTTGAATTCATGTGGATTTAAAAACATTTCAATTAGTGGGAAAAAAAATGCAGGGGGGGAATATATAAAAAAAAAAATCCAATCAACCAAAACTTTCGTGGCCCCCATGCAGTACCTCTAGGGACCCCCTAGGGGTCGCGGACCCCCTGTTGAAAACCTCCGGCCTAAATCATTGCTCTGCCTACATCTCCCAGAATGCTGTGCGGTTGGAGATAAGACTTCCATAGGAAATCTGAAATATTGTACTGGTTCATTGGCCAGTTCAACTGAGACGTTCAGGCAAAATAGTACAGGTTATCTTTACTTAAACATTCCCTTTTATTCTAACTAACTAGTTTTAATTCGCCGCAATAGTTTAATGAAATATAGAAAAGTATAGAACATTGCAGTTCTGTCTCCAAATGGAGAGGTGCGCTGAGGGTTCCTCTCAGACTCACTGCTGTGCTTCTGTTTACCAGGACACAGGAACCATCGTTAGAACAGAGTTCGGCTCATGTTTCCATCCAGACCACCAGAACATGTGAATTCCCAACAAGCCAACTATCTACAGCCACAGTAAAGGGCTCCAGTTAAACGGGGTTCAGTTCTACGTACCACCGAGCTCGTTTCCCCCAGTCGCTGTCATCACAGAGATTATTACGGTGTCTAAAGGCTGAAAATGACGGTTTAAAAAAAAATTAACAACCTCTTCTTCTTCTTCTATTTCTTCCTCTTCTTTTCTATTATGGCGGATCCCAAGCAAAGGTGCATACCGCCACCTACTGTACATGAGTGTGTAGCAACATTACTTTATATCAAATTCTATCTTTTTATTTTGTATTCTGTAGATAAATAAATAATGCTTTCCTTAATCTGTGAATATCTTTTATATTTCCTTCATTTCCCAATGTTCCTTTAAGATTCCTTTCTTAGCCTGTCCTTCCAACCATTCTTCTCATTTTCTCTCCTTCATGTTCATTAGTTTTACCGTTCATCAGTACAAGTTTCACATTTTCTTTTTCTCTGCATCCTTCACATTTATCATTATTTGTCCTCCTTACTAAATCTAAATTCTCATTTCAATAGGTATGACCCACTCTTAATCTGATGATTATTACTTCTTCCCTTCTGTTTCTCTCATTAATGATTCTATTTAATACTGATTTTTGTACCTTATATAATCCTTTTCCTTTATCTTTGTTCAACCTCTTTTGCCATTTTTCCATTTCTTTACTCTTAATAAGTGATTTACTTTTCCCAAAAAATTAAAAAAAATAAAATAAATCTCCTCCTGGTAAAAACCTTGTAAAAACACTATTTATTTATTTATTTATTTATTTATTTTATTTGAATAGGGACAATGCACATTAATGAACATCAGTATAAAGACAAATGTAAATATGCCGGATTATAGCTACAAAGCTAGTTTCCATCCGTAGTCCCTAGGCAGGCAAATACATAAGAAAGAACATAACATACAATACAAGCATCACAAGGAAATGTTAAGAGTTTAGTGGTTACATGACTGGTTTGTTTTCATCTGTAGTTTGAGTTGGGCTTTGAAGCTGATCAGTGTAGGGCTATAAAGGACTATAAAGTGCAGTATTTTTTTTTTATTATTCTGTCATTTATTCTGTTATTTTTATACACTTTTTAAAGTCCACATTTGTTTGACCACTTTTGCTATAATCTCTGTTCCTTTAACAATACAATTTCCCGATTATGGGACAATAAAGGGATTTTCTATTTTATTCTATTCTATTATATATACACAATGAATTTTAAAATGTGCTTTCTTTACCATAAGACCAGGAGAAGAACTAAATAACATTCAGAAGTTTCTACGTAGGTTTGTATAATCTCATCTGTGCCTTGACATGATTGTGTCACACACATACTTAGAGTATTCAGAGAATTCTGATCAAATGAAAATTAAATTAAGCGTGTTACATTTCCTGCTTTTGTACTTACCTTAAAACATCATAGACCTGTCAACAGAACCTTAGAGTGGAGAGGTTATGGCCAGAGGTGAACAATCGGGTGAACTATCCACTTAACGAGCTCTGGTGCACCTGCTGGACCAAGTGGTTGTGAATATGGAGGATAACCTCACTAGATTCTGCATCTGAAATCTGACATGTCAAGTAAGCCAAATTGGAATTGGACTACAGAGTTATGCGTTCATTGAATGCGTTCTTGAAATCAGATAGAGAGCCTATTTTCTTCTTCCACACACATCATGTCTGGTGGAAGCAACAGAAGGCTGTGCTGCAGCGTCTCCCCTTGTTTACATTGCTGCAGTCCACTGACACACACAGTCCTCTGCTGAGGAGAAGCTTGTTTGGATTTCTGCAGGTGCACAAGTGATAAGTGGTACGAATACTAAGGAAGTACATTTACTGGGTAAGTTTGAAATTATGGAATAATTCAATGATTTGTGACAAAGTCCAAAGTTTAAATTTTATTCTAAAGTTCTTTAAGCTACATGAACTTGTTTTATCTAGTATTGTTTGTGAAAGGCTAAGATAACATCTGATCTGTCCTTCTCCCAGCTCCTTTAATTCAGCATGTTGTTAATTTTGACTCCCAGTTTTCCTCCCCATGAGCTCATGACGGGTCGACCCTTTCCTGGACCACAGAACGGGCCTGACCACTGACCTCTGGCCAGACTGGGACTGACAGGTGACACATTAAAATGACCTACAAGACCTTTTTTCCCCTTAGTCAGAGAAGGCTTTACAGAGGGACCAAGGTGCCTGGAGACCCTGATGGGGAACCATCTCAGCCATCCTTCCATCCTTCAGCAGGAGGAGGTGTGGCTCAAAGTCATCAAAAGAAAGTGGTCAGAGCTCATCTGAGCTCATCTGGAAGGAACCAGGAAAAGCTTCAACAAAGCAAATTAGAATAAAGGGGCAGAATAATCCCCTCTGATTGGTTAATTAACACATCAGTAGTCCACCTGATGTGTTGAGGACCAGCTGCTCTGCAGACCACCCATTGAACCTCGTTCAAAATGCCGCCTGTATAAGGGACCAACATCAACAGAAAGATGAAGACTCCCACCTGAAGATGTCTAACATCAGTTTTGGCTTTTTGATTTTTCAATTATAAAACATGAATGAGAAGGGAAATGTGTTGTGATGTGTTGTATTTTAATCAAAGATTAACATTTTTAGTATCTAAGTGTTTGATATTACTTTTCTTGATAATAAAAAGAAAGTCCATGTGTTAGATGACCACCTGATGGCTGATGGAAAGTATTGGCAGAGATTTCTGGATTAGAGAATGAACTTTGATGATCGGGTCATCTCAGCTACCATTGGGAAAGAGGAGCGCTGAGATTAAATCCTCCAACTTTTCAATGTGTGCTTTGACTGAGCCTGATTCTGAAGAGCTGAACTCGTCATCTGCGTGAAACATCTTTGTGTTATGATTTTAACATTTTGCATAGAGATTGATCTTTTTTTTACTTTTAATGAAGCTCAGATTAATAATTTGACTTACCCTTTGTAGAGATGAAGGGGTCTATTGTTTTGACTGATTTGAACTTTTCTCTTTCCAGGGAAACAAAAAGGGTAACTGATAATGATAAGAACTAAAAATTAAAATTTTCAGCAAATAGATATTTTACCATAAAAGTATCATAATGGGAAAAAAACAGTAAATATTTTTGCCAACTAAGATGTGATTCCAGGGCTCTATTTATTGGCAACATATTTTAGCTATCATAATCTTTTCCATAATTTTTCCATCTATTATAATCATTTAACATTGTCCACCGACTTAATGCAGTTGCAGATTTTTTATTTATTATTTTTGAATTATCATTATTTTTATTATTATTATTATTTTTTTTTAGTTTGTAGTTTTTAGATTTCTTTACATTTATTCACAATTTTAGTTTTTTAGTTTTTAGCTTTCTCTACATATATCACAATTTCATAGCGCTGTTTAGCCATCCATCCTCCAGCTTTGACCAGTAATGACTTCATGTGATTCTTAATAAATAGGAATGATTCTAATAAAATAAAATCATTTGCATCCTTCCAAATATAACTAATTAATTAATGTGAGGCAGCATATAGGAAACCATAGAAGGATGAACTATGTTTGGACTGGTTTTATCAAACTTATTTTAACTAAACCTTCAATTTATGTTAGATTTGGTCCCAACGGAATTATCCTAATTCCTTTGATGTCCTACCCAGTATTATATATGATTAATCTATCCTAAGGAGTGAAGGTGGCTCACGAGGTGGAGAGTTGCTGGCATGAGCCCGTGCTCTGTCTTTGTTCTCCAGCTCTCATAATTACGAGATCTTATCTCGTAATTATGACATAATATGTCATATTTAGGAGATCAGGAAGGACAGCCATTGATGAGCTATGCTGCATGAAACATTAACAATGAGTGGATGGTCAGATTTAATATGCTTTTATTTCCTTTTAGGTATGCGACACCTGGAAATACAGATTTGCCTCAATGCAGATGGAATTGGTTTTAGTTTGTCAGCATTGTGCAGGTACCTTACAGTAAGTAATTGTTTAGGCAAAAAAAGCCCACTCTACTCTGACTTGCTGGAAATCACTCTATTCCTGCAGGAGCAATTAAACTAGCATGGGATGCTTTATGGATATAAATGAATGCATCTGAAATAGATTCCAGCTGGTTTGGTGGTGTCCCAAAGAACTGTCCACCAGTACATTCTCTAAATCCTTGATCCTCAAGGAGTACAACTGAGGCTTCAGCACCGTTTAAAATGACCAGGTCCCAACTTCATGCTGCATGACGATTCATATGAGAAACTAAAACCATACTTAATCTGTATTAATGGAGCTGTTGATAGATTTCAGCGTATGGTCATATGACTGCATGCTTACTCCACAAGTAATAATCCCAGGGTTATAGCTGGGTACTTTATTGATGAAGACAAAAACAGGAGCAGAACTCCAACACGTATCAGGTCAGACCTTAGTACGGAGAACTGTTTAGAGGAACAGATGCAGATATTTTTAAGAAGTAATCATGAAATGGAGTTTTCTGAGAGATGCTACATTACTGGCTAAAGTAATCATGACCAAATATATAGATAAGATCTCTTAATTATAAGACATTTTCTCATGATTACGAAATCTCATAATTACGAGATCAGTATCTCGTAATTATGAGATAAGCCGTCTGAATTTTTTTTCTTTTGTGAATGCAGTAAGCTTCCGTAGGTTCCTCTGGTTAAAGGGGAGTTTATATTCTTACTATTACTGCTACATACATGGTTGGTATGAGGGATTGATGCAAAGTCAATTGCTCAATACAAGTAGCTGTCCACTGCCACTACACAAATTCTGCTACTCAATTAGTTTATTTAATTTGCTGCGTTTCTTGAAAATGAAAATAAAAAAATGCTTATTTATTTTTATTAAATTGTCTCTGTAAAGTGTCTGGGATCACACATGTTTAAAATAGGTGCTACTTAACTAAAATCATATGAATGGTATTGTAATACATGAAGAGAACCCACTTATGAGGGGGGGGGGGATTTTCTATGCACAAAAATTTCAGGCTGGGACCTATAAACGTATTAACTTAGTCATGATTAAAAGGCCCTTAAAGAAGCTAAATGTTAACCACGACAAAATGAAAAAAAGTTTGGGCTTCAACATCACACTCATTTAATTAAATTAAATTCAGTTTATTTATATAACGCCAACTCACAACACATGTCATCTCAAAGCACTTTACAGTTCACCATCTCATAT